GACGCCCCTAGCCCAGGCCTTTCCTGTGAACACAAACTCATTAAAGACAATAGCCTCCACTTTCTTTCCAAAGAGCACCGAACTGGGGTGAATCGCTACAGTTTGGTTGCCTATCAACGTCTTGTAGCTGCCATCTGGCATCAATCTCGCTGTATTGGAGATGAATCCCCGTAGCATACATGCGAGTATGGCCTGACTCCTAGCTTCCGAGGGCGCACTTTCAGACTCCCCGTCGTCAGCCGAAAGTAGTTTCTGTTGTGTGCACTGCTGTCTTAATTGTTTCCTGATGTTCATCACATTCTCCATGGCACGGTGAGATACATAGTGCTTGTCGCACCAGGCTTTGCGTTGTGACTTTTGTTCAGCAGCGTATCGTTGCACAGCCATGAGAAGTGTTAGGTGATCACCTTCTCGACGATACAGCTCACGTCTAGCTTCTTCTGCTTCTTCTTTGCGCTCCTCAGTCACAAGGTTCAGGAAGACGTTCTCGACGCTGAGTGCGGATATAACGTCGACCACGTCGAGTAGGCAGTCTCGCTCTGGTTTCGCTGCCTCAACTAGTACTCTTCCGAGTGTAGGTGTGAGTGGGAACTTAGCAATTTTGAGACCAGTGTCGCTGATTCCACCGGTCTCTGTGAGTGCTTGTAGGTTTAAGAGCTGTAAGAGAGCTTTCTCCAGGGCTTCTCGCGGTGGCCGATCGAGGAATGGGAAACTGAGTACATCGTCGACACCTCGCGCCTTCATTGTCAGGATTGCCTGACTAAGGTCGCAACGCAGGATCTCGGGCGTTGTGCGTTCTTCCATAGTATTGTATCCGCTTTCAGTGTACAGCCGATAACATTGACCAGGTGCTTCACGACCAGCTCGACCTTTGCGTTGGATAGCTGCAGACTTGGAGATTGGTTTTACAAGTAGCGATTCGAGACCCAAGCGATTCCGGAATTGCTTTATCTTTGACTTGCCACAGTCTATCACAAAACGAACACCAGGGACAGTAACTGATGTTTCGGCGATATTAGTCGCAAGGATAACGCGCCGCGTGCGATAGGGTGTTGGCTGGAAGATGCGTTGCTGGGCGTGTTGTGGAAGGGCGGCGAAAAGAGGCAGCGCAAGAAGCTTAGGAACCTCGTCGTCCATACCTTCAGCGTAGTCGTTTATAAGCTTCTCGAGCCCCTCGATGGTGTCTTGACCTGTCAGAAACACAAGAATGTCACCTGGCAAAGGTTCCTTGTAATGTATCTGGAAGACAAGCTTTAGGGCTGCTTCGACCCAATCCTGCGTTGGCTGTGGGAGATACACTGTCTTGACTGGATATTGGCGACCTTCCACGTAACAGGTTGAGACGTTGCTTTTGTTTTCTTTCGCAGTCTTCGCGACCGTCTTCTCGGTGTTCGAGACAGGCTGGCTGTCTCCAAAGAACTTAACAAGGCCCTCTACGTCTGCTGTAGCACTCATTACTACGACCTTGAGAGGATGCTTTCTTGCTGTACTACCCTCTTTAGCGGCCACCAGATTCCTGAGAAACCCAAGTATCAAGTCAACGTTAACACTTCGCTCATGAACCTCGTCTACGACTACCGCGCTGTATTGCAACATGTTTGGATCTCTGAGCATTTCTTGAAGCAGCATACCCTCTGTCAAAAACTTGACTTTGGTGTGCTTTCCCGCAGCTGTGTCAAAGCGGACGCTGTATCCCACCTTTGCCGTAGGGCCTTTGTCACCAAGTAAGCTACCCATCTCATCGGCCACACGACGTGCCAGCGAGATCGCGGCTACTCTTCGAGGTTGCGTGATTGCTATGCATCCGGTACACCAGGACTCATTGGCCAAAAACTGAGGCACTTGTGTTGATTTACCAGAGCCAGTTTCTCCAGTTAATACCATGACGTTATTTCTCTGAAGAGCTGCCCTGATGGCGTCCGCTTGTGGCCAGATCGGAAGCGACTTACGGACTTGCCGTAGCTCATCACGCTTCTGAATCACGTGAGATGGTACTCTAAGGTCCTGTTGAAGTTTTCGGGCATTATCGTGTTGCTTGTTCTTCGGCCGTGTTTGTTGATCAGGCTTTTGCTGGGGTTTGCTGGATTGCGTCGCTTTCGATTCTGCTTTCGTGATTTCGCCGGCTTGCGCAATGCGTTCTGGAGTAGGTTTGAGAATCTCATCCTCAGAGTCGTCGAACTTCAATATCTGCCCAGCTCCCTTCTTGCCGCTCCAGCCATCTTTCGCCGGCTGAGCTCTCTTTCTCTTCTTTCCTTTCTTCAATTCTACTGCTTGGTCTTCCTTCTGCTCTACCTTCAATTCATCGCTCTTTTCCTTAGACATCTTTGTTCCTGCAATTGAACAGACCGTGTGGAAATCTCGAGTATGTATGCTTGCGACGGGATACGCGTTGCGTGTCGCCAATTTTTTCGAACTTCTAGAAACCCTTATCGATAAGAATGCGTGTCCGAATAACGTTAGTGCGAACAGGGATTCATCTCCACCTCCGCCTCCACCCCACATTCTTAGCTGCTCGTCCGCCGCATCCTTTGTCTTTTCCTGACGCCGAAGAGGGCCCAGCCGTGTACAATGTACGATCCCGTGGCATCGGGCTATCTCAGCCCGATGCCATACACTCTATGGTTGCCCCCGCCGATGGCAATGATCAACTAAAGATGATCAACCGGGAAATTAGCCTGCATCACGGAGGATGCCGTCATAAGCTCTATAAAGATGAGCGGACAGCACCTGGTATGAACGAATCACGAAGCCAACGTGTTACAATACAGCTGAAGATGTGGGCCAGGGCCTTGTGTTTGCTCTCTTTTGCGTCGTTGGGCGTGGAGAGCAAGATTAATCGTAAATCTATTGTCCAGCAGTATAACCTCAAACTTAATCAATCGAACCCATACAGTCCTGTCCAAGTTGGCAACGGAAACTTTGCGTTTGGTGTTGACATTACGGGACTGCAGACCTTCCTTCCACATAATACCCTGTCATCATGGGGATGGCACAACTCGACGACAAATCAGACTCCGGCGGACTATACCGGCGTTGACTGGTGGACTCACGGTCGTCTCGTCAACTACGCGCAACCCAATCCCGAAGAAAAAGATATCAGTCAATGGATGATTGCGAACCCACATCGAATCAATCTGGGAAGAGTCGGACTGTGGTTCGGCGGTATTGCCGGAGGCAATGTCACCGAAGAACTACTCAATGGCAGAGAGCAGGTGCTGGACCTCTGGGAAGGTGTCATCAGCTCAACTTTCTCCATTCATGGATCAGAGGTTCGGGTGACAACTGTTGCCAGTCCAGAGACAGATACTGTGGCCGTGGAGATATCGTCTAGTCTAGTAAGGACAGCGGGATTGGGTGTCTTCTTTGACTTTCCTTATGCGACCGGAAAGAACAAGTTCGACGCGCCATTTGTTGGTCTTTTCAACGCTACTTCAAACCACACCACCACAGACGAGTACAGGAACAGAGGTGCGACAATCACTCACACTTTGGATGCAACAACATATGTAGCGGACATTGCCTGGGAAGGGTACGCTCGGCTTTCACGCCTACACAGCGATGAGCACAAGTATATCCTAGCTGCCAGCCAGAATTCCGAGCAGCTTTCTTTCACTGTTACATACGCTCCTCATGCGGTCAATATGTCTTGTACACCCGAGACGGTTAAGCAAAAGGCTCAAACATGGTGGGCAGACTACTGGTCGACCGGCGCATTCTTGTCACTTCCTTCCGCTAGCAACTCTTCAGCTGATGAGTTGCAGCGCCGCACAGTCCTCTCACAGTACCTCTTGGCTGTCAACGGGGCTGGCAAAGATCCGGCGCAAGAATCCGGCCTGGTGAACAATGGCTGGTACGGCAAGTTTCATATGGAAATGGTATTTTGGCATCTGGCTCATTGGATGTTTTGGGATAAATGGGACCTCTATGACCGTAGCATCGGTGTTTACAAGCGCTTCCTACCCAGCAGTTTCGACAGGGCAGAGAAGCAAGGATACGAAGGCGCGCGCATCGGCAAGATGAGTGATCCAAGCGGTCGGTCTGCGCCAGGTGAAATCAACAGCCTGCTCATCTGGCAACAACCGCATCCGATGTACTTTGCCGAAATGGAATATCGATCTTTCCCAAGCGCGAAGACTCTTGAAAAATGGGACGATATCTTGATAGGCGTGGCAGACTTCATGGCCAGCTATGCCTTCTGGAACTCCACGACGAACCGTTATGATCTTGGGCCTCCAATGTACCCAGTCTCTGAGAACACTAAACCCAACGACACCATCAACCCCACTTTCGAGCTGGCATACTGGCGCTTCGGTCTCGACGTGGCATCAAAATGGCAAGTACGACAAAACAAGTCTGTTCCAGAGTCGTGGATACACGTACATGATAACCTCGCACTTTTTCCCACTGAAGAAGATGCATATGTAACATACGAGGGAATACCGGATATGTGGACTACACCAGAGTATACAGAAGACCATCCTGGTATACTAGGTATTTACGGTAAAGACTCCCATATACGAACTGCGTGTGAAACATAGACTGACTTCATACACACAAACTTTAGGCTGGTTACCTCCAGATTCCCGCGTTAACACGACAGTATTCAACAACACTGTTGCCAAGGTACACGAGACCTGGAACTTTCCCTTCTCGTACGGCTGGGACTTCCCACTGTTGGCCATCACGGAGGCGAGGAGGGGTGATGCAGAACGAGCGGTTAGTCAGTTGCTTGATGTGAACAATGCTTTCGATGAGGTGGGTATGCCGGAGGGTGGAACGAGGGTACCTACGCCGTACTTTCCGAGTGCGGCCGGCCTGTTGCTCGCTGTTGGTATGATGTGTGGTGGTTGGGATGGGTATGAGGGACCGGTTTGGCCGTCACACTGGGACGTTGAGTGTGAGGGTTTCACGAGAGGTATGTGAGTACATATATGTTATAAAACGATATAATAGGCTCTCTCTCTCTCTCTCTCTCTCTCTCTTCTAGTATTCAAAGTACACTATTCTTCTGCTGATTCCAGCAATGCATCAATCGCGCCCTCTAGGACCTCCATGCAGATTGACTCTTGTGATCGCTTCATCTCCTCTAGGACGTCCGTAAGAACGACATTCTGCTCATCTAACATTGAAACACCCAGCTCCAGCAGTCCTTTTGCATACTTGTTGAAATCTTTCCAAGTATTGATTCTTCTCGTGTCTGCCCATTTCATTTTTTCCCGCCAGAGAAACGGCGATCCACCGAGATACTTATCTCTCGAAACCATGCGGATTGTATGCAGACTGCGTTCTGGTGGCAGCGATTGCACTGTCTGGAATAGGCACTCCAGTCTCAGCACCTGATAACCTAGGTTCTGACCAAACTCGCAGGTAAAAATTTGCGTCACTGATATGGGAAGGCCTTCAATGACTTCCGGTATAGCACATTGCTTATATATGTCCAACGAAGGTGTATAGGGAAAAACTGTGAGTTTTGGAGCAATGCAGTCAGTGGTTACTGTTTTCAAACCAGCGCCATGTCTTGCCATGAAAGCTGCCAGAAGACGCTTGTGGCGCATTCCATACGAATAGCGATCAGGTGGTTTCAAGTAAGCAAAAGCTGAAAGAACGGGCATATTCCAGTGGGTGAGCCAAGCCAATAATTTGCCAGTAGCCGGTTCCGTGACCAATTCGAGTGAACGTAAATTCGGCAAGTCAAGTGGTTCGATCTCAATCGAATACGAGTCGGAAACGCTAAGGCGAAGTTCTGTCAGAGCCGTAAAGTGGTTCAAGAGTAGAAGGCGTTCTGATGTATGGATGTCCCCACCGAGATGCATAACCATTTTTGTAAGCTGTGATCCGTGCGAACGTGCAATGGATGCCATAGTGGGATAGTTGAGGACGAAGCGGCAACAGAATTCGCGAAGGTTTTTCATATGGAAGACTAGGTCGGACAATGCCTTCTTCCGTAATTCCTTGGATTTCCAGTATTTCGCGGAATGTTTTTGAACACTGAATGAGCGAACCCAGGAAGCTTTAGGAAGACCAGAATCGGTCGTTTGACCTAAGAGCCGGGCCAGGGCTGTGATGTGGTCTGCTTCCATGCCATGACTGTCTTGGGGTCCTGGAAGGCTGCCGTTGCGGTCAAGTGCTACATGGCGATACACTGCTGGCTTTATCATGTCCTGTACAATGTCAGGCATATAAACTATGAGATTAGTTTGGCGAAAGTAATACCCTCCACGATCTGCATACGCATTGTAGTCTCTGAAGGTCACGCGTTTTTCCTCTGATGTAACAAGGGGAGCGATCAAAAATGTGAGTATCGTACGTGACCACATGGTCGAGTATATTGAGCCACAGCTCGGTCGGCAAAGCAGGCAAGACGTGGGTTTTAGTGGGAGTTTCGTCATGCTGTTTGCTCGTGTCGTCCATAATGTGATGGGTGTGGTTTGGAGAGAAAGAGCGTCAGTTGAGGAAGACTGCCTTGAGGTAGGTGCGTCAAATTCAGGCATACTCAAATTAGGCGCTAGAAAAGCTAGCACTGATCAGGTTAGATGTTTGGATGCAGTTGTTGGGCGTAGTAACTATGGAGTCTCGGACGCAACGTCTCACATGAGACGTGCTTGTCGATGAATCTCGTTGCATGTATCTGCACAAGACCTAATAACAAGGTTCTGCAAAGCTTCTTCTGTGTTCGTTCTTTTCTTGAGTGACCCCTCTGAAACCAGGGATGTCGTAATGAATTGAAGTGAACGAGTGAGGACATATTAGTGCCTCTCTGATTTGTTCTCTTAATTTTACATCATGATATAATACAGAGTCATAATTTGGTTCTTCATGACCATCGAATCTTCATCTTCCATTGATCCAGCTTGGCCTCCCACCACGTCTTTTTAGGCGCCCGCTCAATCTCGTCCATTAACCTTGTGTAGTGCTCTGGTGCAGATGTGGGCTTTAGTACACCTGGCGACAGTGCATATTTGGTACTGTATCGGTTCTCCAGCAAGGAAAATAGTGCGTTCACTTGGGCTTGCTCGAGCTTGGGGTTCGCAGGCGGTGACGATGCAGCTGGTGTTGTAGATGCAGGGGACTGAGGCTTTGCGCCTTCTTCGGGAGCGGGCGTTATGGGTTGCAGGCCGAATGGTTTGCCATGATGTTCGATTGCGCGTGTGAAGGGAAGATTGGGGCGCAAAGCGTCCTTGGGCCAGAGGGCAAGGAGACGGGTGTATTGTTTTGTAATCTGCAGTTGCGTGTCAGCTGACTATGCTGTGATGCATGGCTGTAGACTCACAGTATTTGCCATGGCTGCTGTGTGCGAATAGTCCAAGACGGATCTCGTTCACTTTCTTCGACGATCCAAAAGTCGATGATGCTTCGGTAACCAGGGTCCAGGTGCAGGGTCCGTGCATTATTGGATCGTGGCGCAGCGCCCGTGTCGCATGGCCTAAAGCGACAAAGTCAGGCAACTGCATTTGAAACGCCTCCTCCGCTGCATCTGCCGCCTGACACGCTCCACCACCTGCACTTCCCTATCACAACCGCCGCCTTTCCCTCGTCCACGCCTGCTGCCCGGCCTATTCCTACCACCATCTCGCCTGTCGACACTCGATAGCAAACACAGCATTGCACCCTTCACGTCACACATCCGGTTATCCGCGCAACATGCCCAGCCAGGGCTACGAGAGGGTACGCTGTCCCAGTTGGTCCCGGGCATCCTGCGCCCGCGCAACCCCCTTGTATTGCCTTCACGACGCCCAGACTAACCCATCAACACAGGTAGCCGCCCAGGACGAGGATGAATCTCCCCAGAGGTTGCAGGCTGGTCAGCAGTGGCCGCCTGCATCGCCGCCACCGTCATTCCACTCGCGCGCATCATCACCAAGCGGCACATCACGACGTCTGTTATCCGAGGATCCCGCACCAAACGAGGAAGACCGCACACTCGCCGACACGTTTGACTCGGATTCCGACGACGACGACGATAACGATGGGCGCGATGATCGGCAGCGGCTGATGCGGGGAACACCCAGGACAGAAGACGAGCCCGTGGCTCCGGGCATCCAAAGGAGAGTGACGGAACTGCCAGTCTTCAACACACAGGCGCCGAGCAGCGGACGCGTCTATGGCGGAGGCAACGGTGGTGTATGGGCTAATCTGAGCGCAAAGCCGACCAGAGGGGAGGACGCTGAGGAGAAGCCTCCGGTGCGTATTCGACTACACGTGCATCATATCAAGCATTACTAACAGCCACCAGACCTACGAACAAGCCGCCGCAGACGCCACACCACCCTACTGGGAAACCACCATCCTCGCTCCCGGCACTTTCGGCGATGAAGTCTTCGTCGAAGGTCTTCCCGTCGGCTCCCTCTTCAGTTTCCTCTGGAACGCTATGATCTCCATGTCCTTCCAACTCGTCGGTTTCCTCCTCACCTATCTGCTCCACACTACCCACGCTGCAAAGAATGGATCCCGCGCTGGTCTCGGTATCACACTCGTACAATTCGGTTTCGGTTTCCGCTCCGCCGTACTTAGTCCGAACAACGGCAGCAATGATAATCCTGGGCAGGGATTCGACGGTGGCGTTCCGAACGACCCAAACGCCCACGACTTTGACCCCAACAAGGTTGGCAGTGGAAGCACGGGTGGCAGTGACATGACACCCGCCGCGAGTGCCATTACAGGCAGTGACTGGATAGCATACGGACTGATGATTGTCGGCTGGTTCATCCTGATCAAGAGTGTGTCCGACTTCATCAGAGCAAGGCGGCATGAACAACTCGTTCTCCAGTCTCCAGACCGGGGGTTGGGCGTGGCTGTTGTCGCCGAGGGTGAAAGCCCAGAGCGCAGTGTATAATTTCTTCAACAAGCCTCGGACTGGCATTCTCTTCTCTCTCTTTATAGCGTATTATTTGGTTGCATCTAGGCACGGAGTTCTTCCTTGGTTAAAAACAGATCGAAAGATATAGTTTCGCTGTTGTAGCAGCACATCACTGTACGATTTTCCTTGCTTGTCTACCACATTACTATCTATATCCCGGTCCCGGGGTCTCTTCTATACGAAGTCAATCACCTCGAATCCTCACGTCCCACGTTGATGCTTTCACTTCACTGCTGACGATGATACTACTATAAGGCTCATGATATGTCAGCCATGATAGAGACATGTTGAATTAGTCTATTGGTTATTGTACATGCACAAATTATGCTGGGTATCTCAAATCTCAAAAACGGCTATTGCCAAATTGCACTGCACCCATCGATACGATCAAATCATATGCCTAGTGAGATGTTAGCCTACCCTCTCGATAGGGAGCATGAATGGAACTTACCATAAAGAGCCGGCGCGCATGAACCTTCAAACACGGCAAATTTAGCATGCGATCTAAAAGAGTAGCGATTGGTTACATGACAACGCACTTTTCAGTCGCATACACCTCTCCATACTGGTCCACACCCGCCATCAGCTCATTGTATCGCTGCTTGTTCTTGACTTCTTCTGGGAACCACTTTTTGAGAAAGGCAGCTTGTTCGGTATCCAGGTTGTCTGTGACGGGCCATTAGAAGATTTCTTACGGGTAGAGAATGGAGGAATGCTTACCTGAATTTGCATCGAAAACTGTCTTCTCTCGGCAGAAGGGACAGTTGTACTGCTTGTTGTTCTGCATGACGATCAAGCACCTGATGCAAAAGGTATGGTTGCAGCTGAGTTTTACGGGCCGCCATTGAATTTCCATGCACATGGGGCACGAGTAGTCATCTATTTGCGGAACGTGGGAGAGGATCTGTGTGTTGACTTCGGCGCAGACGGCCTTGGCGAGATGTTCTGAGAACTCTGGGTACTCTACTTGACGAGGGAACGTGGACTTTACGCCCAAAGCTGTGCGTTTGTCGAATTCTAGTGCAAGGTTAGCCTACCGGGTCTACGTTTGAAAGAATCGAAAACATACTCTTGAGAATCTTGATCATGGCATTGTGATTGATCTCGCCGAATCGTAGGCCTTGGAGAATCTCTCGGTTGATGTGCATAAAAGTATTCAGCGCTTGCAGGTTCTCCTTCTTCTTCAACTGTTCCACCAGACCGGCCTTAGCAATCTTGTTTGAGAAGCCAGCCAATCTTGCCATTGCCTTTTCCGAATCATGCGATTTATGATCAATCTCCGTTGTTCCAAAGAAAATGCCCTCTTCGACGTATACCTGGAAGATCTGACGCCAAGTAGTGAGCATCTTTCTATTGGCTCTTCGGTCGGGGTTGGTCAACTTGGCAACCTGTTTCCCTAACGCTTCAATCTGAACGTTCATTCGTTTTTGTTCGCGCTCTTGCAGTTTCTCCAACCCTGTGACTTCACTGGTAAGCCTGGTGAAAAATTCGGTGTCCGAGGTAATGGGAACCTCGACTGTACGGTAACCGGGTCGGCTGCGAGAGCTATTTGTTGGGGTGGTCGTCATGGTACTGGCTGGATCTACAGAATTGGCAGATTGCATTGGCGAGCCTGAATCGTCCAAGACGCGCAAATCAGACATGCCAGTTTCAACGGCCAGCATCTGGAGTTTGCGCCTGGTCTCATCATCCAGCTGGGCGCTCAGGACCTCTCCACTTGTCTCGTTTACGTAGAAGAGTAGCTTTGGATGGAAAGCCTTCCGTGACGGCGAGGCATTATCCCTAGAACTGTCGGGGTTGAGGATATACTCGAATGGTCTTTCTTGATCATCATCTTCTTGTGTAGAGGCATTGTAGTCTTCGACATGCTTCAACAATTTGGACAGGGTCGCAGGATCAAGGCCCACTTGCTGCAGCTCGTCGGTAAGCCTCTTGATGCACTTCTTGAGCTGCGAGTAAGAGATGGCGGAATCGACCCACTCTGGCGGGAAGCCCTCATCCCGGAGTGTTTGCTTGAACAGATGGCCGAACTTCATATTTGGGGAAAGGTCGACGAGGAACCGTGGTAAGGCTGGCCGATCAGGAGGCGCAGAGGACGCACGTGGGGAGCTGAGTGGTTGCAACGCTTAGCGGGGTACCTTCCACGCTTGTTCCGCCGCAGTTCCGTGGACCAAGCTAACGGAGCCTTCCAGCGATCACCCACGCTTGGGATATGCAAATGCGACTGAGTAGGGAGATGATGGAACTTGAAGTTTGTGTTTCGACCTGTATTGGACGTGTGGGTGGAGGGGAAGTGGTAATGAATGAGGGAATAACGACTTGTCAACAACGGCGACTTGTTCCGCGGGTCATGCGCCTGTCTGCCTGTGAAGGATGCCGCTAAATGGAGACCCCCAGAATTCAATGGAGATAGTCTTGCGCCATTACGAAGACATGGGGAAACGCCTCTTTTATGAATCAAAACAAATGCATGGCTTGTGCCGGCTTTCGGCGTTGTCTAGACTATGGTGGCTCCAATAGCGCTCTTCCTCAATCACTGTCTGCTCAAACTTTTCGCCTCTACCGTCCGCGACCAATCAACGCCAAGCGCACAGTCATAGGCGATTTGCTTGTCGTGACGCAACATTGCTCTTCGCGACTCACCAGAACACCACCATGTGAACCCCGGGATAGTCTCGGTGTATTGCAGGGCAGTCCGCACGCGCACCGGGAATGCTGTGAAAGCTCATCTACAAAGTTCCACGCCAAGACTCACATACGCCCACACAATTCAACTGCAGCATACAGCCACTGCAAGTAGTTCGAGACCCGAAGAGCTGTAGACTAAGTTCAGGCCATAGTGACTAGCTGCATCGGAGCCGGCAATCAACATGGGTGCATCACAATCCACTGGTGGCGGGGATGCGGCCAGTGGTGCGGGCGAAGTGAAGACGAGTTACTACGAACTGCTGGGTGTAGAACGCAATGCCACACCAGACGAGTACGTTACAGCGACCTGATAGCCACGACAGTAGTAACACGTCCCAGGCTCAAGAAAGCATATCGAAAGAAAGCACTCGAACTACACCCCGACCGAAACTATGGTGATGTCGAACGTACCACTGCCCTCTTCGCCGAAGTCCGATCCGCATATGAAGTACTTTCTGATGACCAGGAACGCGCATGGTACGATGCACACGAGAGGGATATACTGCGGGGTAGCACGGGCGAGGATTCTGGCGAACACTACCAGGGTGACATGAAGGTTACAACAGCCGACGACATAACGCAGATGATGGGCAAGTTCAGGGGGAACGTCGACTTTTCAGACTCGCCGAATGGCTTCTTTGGCTTCGTGCGGGAGACATTCGAACAACTTGCCCGCGAAGAGGAGTACGCGGCAGACTACGACGATCTCGACGTACCAGATTACCCTACCTTTGGTCACAAGGATGATGACTATGAAGGCGTTGTACGTGACTTCTACTCAGCTTGGAACGGCTTCGCTACAGTGAAGAGCTTTGCATGGCTGGACGAATACAACCCTTCTTTGCAACCTGATCGTCGTTACCGTCGGGCGGCTGAGAAGGAAAACCAAAAGATTCGCGATGAGGGTAGACGGGCTTTTAACGATGCCGTCAGGACGCTAGTTGCGTTCGTACGGAAGCGAGATCCGCGGTACACTCCAAACACGCAGACGGCCGAAGACAAGGCCAAGGCACAGCGTGACGCCAGAAAAGCGCAGGCTGCACGCGCAAGGGCTGCGCAGATGGCGAAGATGGAACAAGAGGAGCAAGCAGTGCCGCATTGGGCTACGGCACGGCCGGCCGACGAGGTTGAGGAGGAAAGTGAAGAAGAAGTCGAAGAGGATCTGTACGAATGTGTGGCATGCAACAAGACATTCAAGAGCGAGCGACAATATGACGCCCACGAGAAGAGTAAGAAGCATCAGAAAGCAATCCAGGCTCTCAAGAAAAAGATGCAAAAGGATAATGCCCATCTAGACTTGGATGAGGATGCTCTCAAGAGTGATGAGATCTTACCAGCTGAGGACGAGCTTGCGAAGCATGTCGATGTCTCGGGCGACGAAGGCTCTGACGTATCTGTCCAAAACCTTGCAAAGAAAACGACCGAGCTTGATTTAGACGACTATAGTGTGGACGAGGAAGAGGCGCCCTCAACAAAAGTTGCACCTAGTAACACAGTGTCTGCATCAGCTACTGGCTCAGAAACCAGTTCAGACGTAGACGATGAATATGCCTCACGCTCCGAAATCGAGGCTCGACTTGTTGGTGCCAGCACAGAACCTTCTACAGCAACAACCGAGGACCTCGAGTTGAAGCTTGGCGATCACACAGAACCAGAAGTCGCTGCCCCTCCAGAACCCAAGCTTGGCAAGGCTGCACTGAAACGCCTAAAGAAAGCTGCAAAACAGGCTGAGGGTGAGGAGCCCGATGTAAAGAATAAGTGCGCTGGCTGTAGTGCCGGCTTCTCTTCCAAGACACAATTACATCAACATTTGAAGGAGCATCCTAAACACGCGGCGCTTAAATCGGTTGCGAATGGTGGGAAGAAGAATAAGAAGCGGTAGTAGACATAGTCCCTCTTGGTCAGGGGCTTCTACTGTTGATGGTGGAATACTTAGGCTTCTGCATACCCTGTCCAAAATACTATAAGTCTCATGGACTTGTACGTAGTCAATCAACAACGAAGCCATGAGGCTCACTGTTGTTGACGGGGAATCTGTCACTCGTGTCTTTTCAAATATGCACGAATTCCTACAGCACTTTGAAAAGATGTGTAGAATGATCGAACAAAACAAAAGACACTCCGAAACATCCTTTCAGGTTACTTTCCGTTCGAAAGCTCTGGTGACGTCTTGTTGGGATTAGGCATGCTAATTGCAAGACCGAGTCAAGTCACCACGTTGGGATGCCGCTGGACTTTCCAACGGATGGACATGAATATCAACTACAAATCCTGGTCAAATGAAGACAATTTCCACAGGCATTTACAACATGCCTCTTTCGTACAGGATACCAAACCCGCCCATTTGCGAGCAGACCTACGTTTTAGACTCAATCCAGGTACCATGATATCATGCATGGTAGTTCGACCTCGAAACATATTCAGACCCAGAGCAGACATGATGTACCAGTTCTTGCCTAACCGATGCAACTTGACGAGCCTCAATCGACATCCGCACTGATACGATGTTTAGTTCAGACCCTCATGAAGTGGCCCAGCATTGTGTCTGTCTCCTTATCTTGCACACCTAGAGCAGCACACTACATACAGCCTGACAGACATGTTCCGTCATGCTCCTGCCGGTACTGAAAGGTCGTCCATTACAGGCCTTTAGCGCATGGTGGAGCTGGAATCCTCGGCAGTAACACCATTGCAACGCTTCCAGGAAGGTTCGTTTCGATTAGAAGACAACGCTTGTACAGTCTTTGTTTAAGTAATGGCAAGCAGTCTAATACAGCTGACTGGGTATGGATCAGATGATAAAACTTGATGAAAGACTTATGTGGCAGGAGTGCAGTTGTTGAATGAACAGAAGAACATCACATCCGTCGCAGCATATAACCTCACCAGCAACACATTCAGACATGGGGACTGGTCGTAAGTGGTCGCCAATGAGTACGGACATGACTGCACGAAACCTTCTTCACTCTTGGCAAACGCCATAAGGAAAACATGATCCATGAGAGACAAGAGAATGTAAGCTAAGATTGGCGAGCATTTTGATACGTTTACTGAACGACGTGCCGCTACTGAAAGTTGTTTTCGTTACTCAAAAGACGGTCAAAATGCCGCGAATGTTGAGGCGGCCGTGTGTGAGGTTCTAGAAGATCACACCGGGACGCTCCATGAACCGTGACATGTTACAAGGTCAAGTCCTGTGAACTAGAAAGTTCTTCTATGAAACTAGTGCATATGCATCTCCACGCTCCGCTATATCAGTCAAGCTATGGATAGCAAGCTGGTCTACATGTATGACCGCATGTAACGGTCAGTTGTCGAGCAATGGTCCGATGTTGTTCTCTGGTGAGCGCAACTGTTGTGTAGGAGCATTCTCGCGTTGTTGCTTATATAGGCTAGTTCCGTGTTGTTTTTAGCCCTAAGCGGCTCAACGGTATGCATGAGAACGCTAATGTTGGACCAACAGAAGTGGCGTATTGACGAATAGCTTCTTGCGCTGTTTTGCTTCTCAAGCATCGAAGCGCCATGATCTGATCTTCAATGGCATCGGTGTGCAATGCATCGTGTATGGTTGTGTCTTGGTGTTGTTTCAAGGCAGCTAAATGCGTCGGGACAGAAGGGTGGTCAAGCGCCAGCTTCAGGTCATGCTCTCTTCGTGGTCAGGCATTCTACCAATCTTCTGTGCCGCACGCCGCCCGCCCCTCTATCGAACCATGTCGTATCGGTAAATGAAAGAACGCATTCTCAATTTAGATAGAGCTCAGTACCTCGTGCACGTAGCTCACGGCTTTTGATGAGAGTGCTGAGGAGTGCGCAATCTTTCTTGGACAATCAGGTATCTCAAACAAGTGGTCGCCGACGATAAGATAGAGGGGTATATAGACCCCTAATGCGGCGCAGGGTCTGACGGCTGCTGTGTCTAGGTTGAGGCGCTTGGGTCTTCATGGCATGTTGCTGGTCCCACCTTCCGGATTGTGATGATCGCCTCGCAGCACCTCATCACGTCCCTGTACAGTTAGCAGAAGAGATAGAGCTGCAGACGTCAGGGGACAACAAGCCCACCTAAGCTCCCGCGCTAAGACGCGCGTGCTGCTTAAGAGTTCCCCAATTGCATGGCATTGCTTGTCGTTGTTGCATCGGAGACTTCTCCAACACCTCTACTTCGCTCGCGTGTGATTGTATGGTTCCCGGCTGAATGCAATATGGCGGTTTGCACGCGGTGTCCCTAGTGATGCGCGTTAGCGTTCGTGGTAAGAGTCGCTCGCGTACGCGTGCTCCTGTCAGCTAGCTACAGAGAAAGCTAGCCGAGCCTAAAGGGTCTTAGCGCAAGGGTCTGACTGAAGCTTCAACCCCTGAACGCTCCGGGCGAGCCACTCCTATCCACTCTTTCCTGACACCTCCAGATCCTTATGATCGTATTCCAGGCCATGCGCTTATCGTGTCCGGCTCCAGCGGCTCTCTGATAGGGCACCAATCGAACTGTCAGCTCTCACTTGCCCGGTCTGTGATGGCGTGGGGATAGCCCAGGGGTTCGCATGGACGCGCATCCGCTACGAATGGTTAGCTTTGCTCAGACGAGGCTTTTTGGAATGGACGCTCGTATCAAATGGGGCACTATCTGACGGGCTCTTTTCTCTTGAGTCTTGTCCATCTCTTGGGGTTCTTGCCTCTCGTCAACTTCGTCCTCCGACATATTGCTTACCCTCAGTCATTCGTTAATACAGTCGCGCGTTGTTCACTCGTTATGCAATCATGATGCCAAAGGCGTACCGTCTTTCTTTCTCGCACCTCGTTTTCTATATCTCTACCTTCGTAATCGCGACGCAATTATGGTCCATATGGGGGCAATCGAAGCACAACTACCTACCTTTCTCCCATCATAGAAATCTTCAGCGAGATTGGGATTTCAATGCCGATGTGCATGCCAATGTGCATACACTTAGTCATGAGCAATGCGACTCTGCATTTCCAAAGCTGTATCACAGTCTGGATCAGGCGGTCAGCTTTCGGCAAGGCAGGAAGGTACACGTCCAGGATATCGAGATTGAGGAAGGAAGATGCATGCTTCGGGTTATGATCTATCAGGGCGAGGTACACACATCCGTTTGACAATTTTCCACGTCGTATCTGACACCGTACTCGCAGTTATTCGTTGTCGACGCCGGAAAACCAGAAGAATGCTACGTGACAAACGGAAACGAGAGAGAACGCATTCTAGGAACTCTGGCACAGATTGATCGAGCCGTCACGACTGCCTCGACATCCGACCCCGTCATCCCCAACGTTGAATTCTCGCTTTCGCTCGACGACCTGCCACGGCGATCCAGGAAACATGGAACATTCTTCGGTTATACACGGAAGGAAGGGCCAGAGTACAAGGACATTTGGATGATGCCAAACTACGCGTACTGGGCTTGGAACTATACGCACGCTCCGAGCTGGAACAGCATCAGGAAGGAGATCGAGCAGAAGGAGACAGAACTTCCGTGGGCGAAGAAGGACCCTAGAGTCGTATGGAGGGGCAAGGTCAAGATGGCCAAGCTTAGGAAGGAGCTGGTCCGGGTCAGCGAAGGCAAAGAGTGGAGTGACATCAAGCCTGTGGTTATCAACAACGCCAGCGACCCGCATACCAAGGACGTTATGAATCTAAGGCAATTCTGCGGGTATGATACAAAGCTACGCAAGACCTACAGAACGATGCTAACCACCTTTCAGGTACAAGTTCACCGTCCAAACTGAAGGCACATCCTACTCCGGCCGCCTAAAGTACCTCCAACTATGTCGCTCAGCCCTAATCACACACCCTCTCGAATGGCAAGAATTCCATACCCATCTCATGAGACTGGCTGGCCCCGAAGTAAATTATATCGAAGCATCCGAGAACTTCGGAAACCTCGAATCGGCCATGGAATACTACCGTGCGCATGACAACGAAGCAGAAGAGATTGCAAAGAACAGCTACGAGACATTTACCAGAAGATACCTGACACCAGCGGCAGTAACTTGCTACTGGAGGCGGTTGTTCTGGTCATGGGCAAGTGTACAAGGATATGAGCCACAGTTGTACGTACCTGACAAGGACGGCAATCTGGTCATGAGAGGCACACCATGGACAGCGTTCGCGGCCAATTGGCCCAAGGATCCCGCAGCTATCCCATGAGCGACGACAAGGTGTGCAAGGAGTGGCGTTGCATGAGCATTGGAGTATTTGGTTTTATATGCTTACGATACCCGCGTTCAAGCGTTTGAATAGACACGCATTATTATCTACGTTTACAGCAGTCATTATAAGCGGGGTTGATTTTTCTCAGTCTTATTATACATGGCTTCGGCAACCATCTTCCCTGCATTGGAGAACGCAAGCGAGCAATATATATATTCGTAAACCGACGCATGAGACCACGTCTCCGCATACGCTACCCCTAAGCGCTTGCGATTGACAGTCACATTACAGTCTTGTTCCTGGAAACATTCATGCGAAATGCAAGCTAATGCACATTGTACATTTTTCAATCTAATTTGATGAACAAGACTGCAAGAGAAATACTCATAGCATCTATCACAATGCAGATACGAGCTCCGGTGAAGGAGAGAATGGGTATGAAATGGTTCAATCCGCACCACACGATTCCAACGTTTTTACCAGCTAGCTGACCAGAGATCATGATTTCTTTACTTTCACTGCTTACCCTTTTCCAGGCTTACACTGCAGTTGCTGGCCTGGAACCAGAACGCCTCATCGTCCTCGACACAGGTGTAGGTCATCGCAGCACACCCATTCCTCGATGGCCCACCTCACTTCGGAGTCTGACCACGCGTGGTATCAACGCGACTATTCTTACACAGTTTGGCGCCAACTCGAATGCGACCCAGGCCAGTGAGCCCATTGGTGCATATGCACTTGCATACTCATCGTCGACTTTGTCTCTTTTCTCGGCGACAGGCCAAGGTATAGTCCGCACAGGTACAGACGGTGGTGATGCGGAGACTATCCTAAACGACGACGAAGATCACTATGGGCAAACTATGAGCATGACGGTTGCAGAAAAAGAACAAAGGATTTACTACGGCAACTCATTTACGGGGTTAATCAAGAAGGCGAATTTCGATGGATCATACGACTCTTTAGTGCGGAATGTGTCTGAAGGTCTAGACTATTCTATTCCTTCCTACGCCTCAGCCATCTCCTACGCAGGAGGAATCGCAGTAGATGAGGACAGAGGCTGGCTGTACTGGAGCTCCGTTCGTGGTGTCGATGACGGAAGCATACGGCGCGTGCCAATAAGTGGACTCGGGGAAGAGCAAATTTTAGTCAGTGGAATCAAGACACCAGGCCAAATCCGTGTCGTGAAAGACTCATTATTCTGGACTGAAGGCGGGCGACAGAGTAACTCTCCAACAGCCATTAAGTTTCTCGACCGTTATCTGTCCCAGCTACCCTCATCTGTGTCTCCGAATACTCCAATTCCGACAGGTACTCTTATTTCATCAAGCCAGTCGCCCCTATTCTTTGAGAATGATTTCACGGGCGAGAAACAGACTCTTGCTATCACAAGCTTTGCTGTTTATCGCAATGGAGTGGAGCAGAAAGTATGGTTTGTGGTCAATAGCGCCGGCAGAACAGTATTTGGGAAGTTGGTCGAGGTTGTGTGGCGAGGAAGTGGAGATGGAAGGGGGCCAGTATTTGAAGTGTTAAACGGCGATACCGAGGATGTGGGTGTCCCAGTTGGAGTGGAATACGTATAAAACGGACTGAACCAACGATCATTGCGGTACCCACAATGAGTCTTGCAGCCTGTGCACATCCTCTTAGCTTGGTTTACAGTGCCACTACCTTGAAGAGAGAAACTGAACATCTCTTTAGAACAAAGTACTTATACCTACTACGATAAAGCATGTTAGAACTTTCTTAGATATAGATAGGGAATCTAGAAGTCTACAATACTATTTATCTTTCTAGAACTTCTTCCTAGAAGCTAACGTAGGCAGTAAACTAGGGCATGTTGTTTCTGTACCTGTTTGAGTTTTCTATTGTATACGGTGGTGCTAAAGTACCTATGGTACCTAAGATATGGCAATGCGATACAACAGGTATACGGGTTTCCGAACACTCCATCGTTTTCATATATGACTAAATATCTCCACCGAACGTTTGTTTATAATTGATTGGGTGCTTATTCAAATTTGACCCTCAACATCCAAGTACCCAGATCTTCGCAACCGCAGCCGGACGTGAGATATGACCATAAATCATCAAGATTACGAAATCTCGACCTCAACAGTCCTCATAATACCTTTCTGCACAGATAATATGCTATCTTCACTCCCTGCCGCACAACTGACCCGTCCCATGTGCGTTGTATGTGCTACACCAGCCCCGAGGTATTCATTGTCGACCGCGCTACCATCACGTGAACCATCGTTGCTGCAATTCAAGCCCTTCATCACATACGAACGTGTATCACCGCGCTCAGCTTGCCTTATGTATCCGTTTGAGGCGTAAGGCCGGGACGGCCCTGTAGTCGGGTGTCGTGATGCATATCGATTGCTTGACTTCAGAGCGCTGACGGTGCCGAAGAAGCCGGCAGCTATGGGCTTGAGAGTAGGTAGACAGGCTGCGAAGATTCCGACGTTCATCTCGATTCTGGATAATATCAACAAGGGTGAACCTCGACAAGGAGTGATGGGATTAGTGACTTACTGCTGCCAGATGTAGTACCATGCTCCCTGACCCGAAAAATCTGTCTGTTCAAAGAAGTGAAATTGGAGAGGAATCTTGTAAACCGCGATACCGCAAGTGCTAACTGTCATCAGCCTAGATTACCGCAAATGCGCCAATTGTAGCCGGAAGATACATACAACAACCCTAATCCCAAGATGATACACAGTGAGATCTTAGTGCGTGTATTCATCTGTATTTTCCATATCATGGGCACAGGCATGAGGGCGAGGACAAGGTCGCTGACCAAATTAAACACTTGGTCTTTGTGTTAGCTGCGGCCACACGAATTTCAACAGCGGGCGTACCAGAGTTGAACAAAGCGGTATTTCGATAAGTCGTTTGTGAGTAGCATTTCGCATTCCTTTAACTGTAAGCGTGCATCTTTCCTCTCTTTGATAATATTCAACATACCCACTGGGCGGTCGCAAGCTGAAGTCCCAGGCTGCTTCCACAGGGTTGCATTGTAGTAACAAAGAACGAACAGATCCGATTGTAAACAAGATTAGCATGACCAATATAATCGAAGATTAGTGCAAGCCCTCGTCGTTGACGTGTGAACTCACCTATCATGGCATGCAAAAACCATCGCCAGGAGCGGCTATGATCCACCAATCGTAATAGGCAATGACAAGTATCCAGGAGTAGTACCACATAATCTTGTAGAACTCGCCGAGCATATCAGGCCGGACATAGGTGAAGTATTCAGCATGATGGCCTACTCCAATTTGTGTGAGTGCTACAAGGAAATAGAAGCATATAGTGCTCAAAATCTGCACGTTGTGTTGTTGTTGGTCTATCAGGGGACATGGCTTGTTTGCAGGTGATGATTTGGCTCAAAACACATACTGCTGCAAACACCATCAGCCAATCTATCATAGTCAAGTCAGTGAAAACTGCGGCTGAATCCTAAGCAAATACATACCATCGATGCCAAAAGTCTTGAGAATAGCAGTCCTTACACATATGCGTAGCAGCACGCATGTTATCGCCAATCCGAACAAAGTTCCAACCACAGCCAGCATCTTTGGTGCATAGCTCTCCTGAAGGTACGCTTGTGAAGGGATGGGCGGGAACGGTTTCGATACTTGTCTTGCACATAGATCGACAGTCATCCTGATCAGATCGTTGAGAAGCGTATATTATGTCCAACAATGAGACCAACGGGAAAAAAATGATGAGTCTCTTGTATGTTGAGGGTAGTTTATTTTAACTAGCGAAGACATACCCGTTAGAAACACAACACTGGGTTGATGGCTAAAATCACATCATGCAGGATGATTCACAACACAAAGATACTCCGGAGTAAGGAGTGTTTCGGTAACTAGCCAAATTAAGTGGTTGTGCAACTTGTGCTTCCAAGCGGCAAGCCGTCCCATGTCAGGTTCATACTGTCTGTGCATTTGTTCGCATGTCGAGCTTTATAAACATGTTGAGGAGTAAGAGCGGAAGAAAACATGCATTTGAAGGATGAACCCATGGTGAAGGTTTAGCCGCGCGAAGACAATATGGAAAGTCCGGAACGCAAAGCTTGAATCCTTCGATTGTAGCTCCCGAGGTCATGCATGGGCCCTGACTTCGACCAGAGTAACTAGCAATTTTGACCTGGTTATTATTAACAACTCTCTTCTTGACCGCATCAATTCTCGCACTGCGTTCAATTTGCTTGGTACTAATTACAAGATGATGGGGTTCGCATCGGCTGGTAGGGTGCAGGATAGGCTAAACCAATCTCGCTTATGCATATTGCATCCTTACGAGACGCCACACTGAGTACGCGATAGTGTCTTCCTGCCGGTATGCGACACAGTCTACAAGCCAAGCACAGATATTTCTTCGGCATCGATATTCCCATCGCGGAGCAGACTTGCAACACTCGAATTTCTTCTCCTCAGAACTCTCTCGCTGTGTTATGCGCAGGTATAGTATAAAGATAGATTGTTATTCCAGTTTTTGAAAGAAAGCTAGGGGTAGATGAGGCTCACCCACCGGGAAACGCGCAGGAACGGCTCTTGGCGGCCGGCCCGAGGAACCATAGAATCCCTAGTACGGTAGTGAAGCACACAACATCCTAGCTCCGCGGAAGCCGGCTGCTATACCAGTGAAGCTAATCGGCAGTTAAGAATACCCTGCAATCCATGCGCCCAGTAGCTCGGACTATACAGGATTTCAGGGTTCGTAGAGAATGGACTATCGAACTACCACGTAGGCTTGGAAGGATTGAACCTGCATCTATGCGGCAACATACTGCGGTCCTAACCGCGCCACACAAGCCCGAGAACATGAGGATCTATTCGGGTGAGCGCTACGCTATGCCTTTCTGGATTCTTACACCATGTCTACTAGGTAATGACAGGTAGGACCCCTTTGTGGGCCGGCGTTGGTGACCCCAAGTGGCAGTGTTCCGAAGCTTACCTGGGTAAATTCCTCGGTATTATCAGTTCGACTGACTTTCTCATCTCGTCTAACAACCTATAAGAAGAGATTCGAGACGTACCTCTAGCACAGCCGGCACACTACTCATTTCTTATCTGTCTCTTACAGTAACTGTCAATCCCGTCGTTTCGTCCTTCAACTCGGCTTGCCTCTATATAGCTGGTTCGATATATCGTATCGCTCTCGAACCACACAGCATGCGAGGATCCTTTCAAGCTGCGTTACTATTGCCTTTGGCTTTAGGAAATGCACTCCCTTATGAGGGCACGCAGTTCGAGAAGAGAAGTTTCGATCGCGTTGATGACATTCTCGCTGGCCTAGGTAGCATTAAGCAGGACCTGATGGCTGGTGGTGCTGCAATCAACCAGCAACTCTACCAAGCTGTTCAACAGCCGGCGCAGTACAAGAAATGCAACCCTACCAACATTCAAGTCAGGCAGGAATGGTATGTCTCCGGTGCCGTAAGGCTGTTCAGTCCCCATGCTGACAGTATCGAAGGTCTACCTTCTCCAAGACCGAAAAGAAGGCATACATCAGCGCAGTCCAGTGTCTAGCGAAGCTCCCGTCCAAAACACCAAAGGAGACATGCCCTGGCTGTAGGAATCGCTATGACGACTTTGTGGCTACCCACATCCAGCAAACCTTCGACATCCAGTAAGCCATCCTTCGCGAACTATATGTGAAGCATGTGCTTACTTCGCACACCAACATCTAGCATCACGGGAAACTTCCTCAGCTGGCACCGATATTTTACTTGGGCGTATGAACAGACTCTACGCAATGAGTGTGGTTATAAGGGTACCCAACCCTACTACAGTTACTCTAGGTGGTACAAAGATCCCACAAAGTCCCCTCTGCTCGACGGGTCTGATACGTCGCTGTCCGGACAGGGTGTCAAAGGCTGCAGCAATCAAACCTTCACCGGTATTCCTTCAAATACTGACGTGAGGATGAAGATTCCGCATGGCCCAGGTGGTGGCTGTGTAACCTCGGGACCCTTCAAGGACTGGTCCGTCAATCTTGGCCCGTTGTTTCCCTCATCGGAATGCGTTCGACCAAACCCCAACCAGGATTTTGCTGCTGGTTTTGGCCTCGGTTACAACCCTCGTTGTCTCATGCGCGACATTACCAGCTTCACCAGCGAAGGGTGGCTGAAGGATGATGACGTAGTATCTCTGCTCAAGAGCGACAGCTACCAATCTTTCTGGGAGACCTTGCAAGGCGGTCCCCCTCCAGACAGCTTCACGAACAATTTCATGGGCGTGCACACGGCTGGACACTTTATCATCGGCGGTGATCCGGCAGGTGACTTCTCGGCTTCTCCTGGTGACCCATACTTCTTCTTCCACCATGCATCCATCGATCGACTCTATTGGACTTGGCAGAACCTGAAGCCAAATGAGCGCACCACTGCTTTGTATGGGCCTACCGTTATTCAGGACCTTACCTCGCCCCCAGCAACTCTCAAGGATACTTTGGACATGGGATCCGCGTATCCTGGACCAATCACTATTGAGGACGCCTCAAGCACTATGGGTGGTGCACCGTTCTGTTACACCTATATATAGATTCTCATACCTTAGACTTTGTTGTCTTTAGTGGAATATAATAACTGTGTTAAGCCTACATGTATGCGTTCCCGGTGCGTGTACTAGATACCGATACTGATTTTAGTTGGTGGAATTCTTGAAAAGTCGAGCCTAGAAGTTTGCGCAACGGTGTTAGCTTTCGATCATCTTCTCCTGAGCAGGCGTGCTGGGGGTTTTTGGCTCTCCGGATTGATTCGGTGATGATAGAGGAAGCGGCGATGACAATGGCGCTTGAAACGCGGTCATAGCAAGTTGGATAGCCATCAGGCAGACAATGTTGTTTACAAAGGCTGTCCTGTCTACTTGACTATCGTGCTTCTCGCTAGTTTAGGGAAACGAATGAGTGGGCAAATAGCGGACATTGACCTTGTTGTGAGGATAAAAGAAAAAGAACGGAAGAGGAGCGCTACTCTTCTAGCTTGATAAAGCTCCTGTAAGATCCGGTTACAGCATGAAGGGGTTGATACGAAGAAGACTGTTGTGAAGTTTTGAGGGGGATGGTGGTTGGGATTGGGATTGGCAGGGGACTGTGCGGAGGGGTTGGGCTGATGTCATGTATGATAGATGATTGCAACCATGACCAGATGGCTTTCACAGTGGACAATTGCTTCTACATTGGGTTGAAATGCCCTTTGAATCCGAATCGAGGTGTGCGTTGTTCATTATGCATGACTTCAGTTTCCGAAAGCGTGGTCCCGCATGCTAGAGCAAGACAGCTACGAAAGGAACGCCATTGACAAGACTTGAAATACCCACAGAAACGCCATTGACGACTTTCAAGCTCTCCATAGACACTATGATCTCTGGATCTATGCTCGTCGACTCGTTGGGTACATGCTGGGATGGTACGAAGCGCTTCAGATTTCATCTATGAGATTTCAGACCTGGTCCCAAACCACTTGAAGCCAGTCAGAAAGTTCTGAGAGAACGCCTGTATCAGGTTAGATCTATGCTCAACCTCAATCCCCAACCAAGTACTCACCAGTCTTCTTCTTCATTATTTCCGAAAGCTGTGCTTCCCGTCTCTCTTTTTCTGTTAGCCTGCTTTCTTCTAACGCACGTATCTTATCTTGCATCTCCGTTGTATAGCTCTGACTGTTGGCCCTGAGTCTTTCGCATTCTTCATCTGTGGCCTTCATTTTCTTCGCCTGCTCTTGCATCTGGTCTAAGAGTTTCTTCATCTCGGCTTCACGCTCTGTCTGTAATTTCTCCAGATCAGCATGCAGACGCTTCTGCGATTCTTCTCCGGCTTGGATTTTCTTGGCGAGGTCAGCTTGGAGTTGGCCAATCTGTTGCGCTGCCTCCTGGTTCGCCGCTGCCAAGGCTTCTTCTTTCTCCCGCTGCAGCTCTTCCATATCTCTTCGACGTCTCTTCCGCTCTTCCAAGATGTCATGGTTCAATTGCTGTCCTGCCCCAGTCTGTTCAAGTCCCAAACCTCGAGACATCTCATCTTGTATTTGGAGCGTTATTGTCGTTTGCTTGCGAACCACGGTGTCGAGAATGGCCAATGCAGAAGAGCGATCATTTTGATCTTTGAGCCGCATGATCTGACTGCCTTTCTTGAGCATGAAGCCCCAAAAATCTTCTTCTTGCATTAGCTCTATTTCTCGCTGAGAACCAATCTCTGGCGGAACCAGAGACCACATAGTCGTGACAAGTATGATCTGACTAAAGCACTCTTGACCGCAGAGCTTTTGGAACATGAAGAGATTGCGCTTTGCGGATCCTTGCATCCTAGGGTCGATGATGCGGTAGAGGTAGATCATGCCGCTTAGACGTTTCTTGTTCTTGTACGAAACGCCTAACCAACCAGCGATGTCTCGGAGCACATCAGTGTCTTTTCGATCTGTGTCATCGATATCCGGCGTATCGATCAGATGAACCCGTAGGCTTGGACTCATCATGAACGCAAATTCTCCAACTTCTTGCGTGTCTAAGCTTGTCTCAGCTATCGTAGTCATTGTTGGGTATGATGGGGTTGTACTTACGTGAGCGGAGACCTTGGCCTACTCCAATCTTTTGTCCGGTGCACAGTTCTATGGATGAGGACGTTCCGGCTCCGGTAACTCCCATGACAGAGATATAGACGTCTTCCACTTTCCTATTGATGTCAGATGGTTTCAACGACAAGTCTAGAGTGGAGATTACTCGGCAGTCCTATGAGATTTGTGCTCGCCCATCCTCGAAGATGAAGATGGCAATAAATGCGGCATCGCATCCCTGTTCGAAGGATAAGAGCCAGGGGGGTAGGGGCGTCTCTGCTGCGTTTGCATGTTGTCTTGGCTTGGGAGTGAGAGTTTGCTTTGCGCAAGAGAGAGAGAGTGTATGGAAAGACGGGAAGGTTGTGAACAGCATCTATTTATCAGTACTGCGACTTCACTTGTTTGAAGGCTGATACTTCAGCATACATTAGGTCCTACAATAGTACGCGGGTCTGGAGTCGGTGGCATACTATGGCTGCATGAGCTGACCCAGGCGCCATGTATGATCTAGGAGTGTAGGTAGCCTGGTTAGCCTGCGAGAGTAACTATCGTGAGCCAAGTATCGTGAGCCAAGTCCGCCAGACTTGAGGGATTACAAAGGTTGGATTTTCGGCTGCTACTTTAGCTCGACATACAATTATCCCTTGCACAACGGTGCTGGGCTACATGGGGACATGTCTGCACTACAGATCTTCTTAGGCGTTTTACGATGGCAGGAATATAAGTGGAGATATGCTTGGATAAGACTGCTATTGTACCTTGTCCGTTCTCTGTGGAGGTTGGGGAGGTATTGTTGGTGATGAGCCTTCTTCGCGGCACGGCGCCTACCGGGTATGATCTCCCTGAAAGCTGAGCAACGTAATTGCAGACGCGATGCCCCGGAAAACCTAACGCCCGCCGATTTGGTATGGACTCACAGATTTCCCGATCGGTCCGTTAGCGAGACGGTATATTCTACAACCTTTGACTCGAAGACTCCTGTACCTACACCAATGCTGCCAAGATTCATACTACCATGGTCTCTGCGCTCCTGAACTCTTAGTCGACCTTGTCTCACACAATGAAAACTCGGTTCGATGCCGTCAAAAGTTCAGCTGTGGTTTTGAGCTGACTGTCCTATTGAATCTGAATGCAGCCACAATACGCTACACAACTTGCGAGGACGCGAGCTCGAACTGTGTTATTCTTTGGAAACAACTGGGTATCCGGACACACCCCGAGTTATGCGCTTTCCGATGGGTTGCTTTAGCTAAGTTAGCCGACAATAAGAAGTTGTTCGAGAAGGTGGAACTTTCACAGATCCCCCAGTCCCCTGCACTTGCAGTCTCGTCGACATGAATATCGTGAACTTCTTGTATGAACAAGCTCATTCATATTGGTTCGATTCATTGCAGTCGAAGGACCAGGTCCCGTTAGCAATACCAGGCAAAGAAGATGTCATCGTCGCAATCATGGGCGCTACAGGCACGGGTAAGTCGTCATTTGTGCGTCTCGTCACTGGTGATGAGACTATCATTGTCGGACATGGGCTTCACTCCTGTAAGCAACTTCCCATCGTACCCAATATTGAGGTCTCAAACTAAGTTTCAACGTCTCATAGCCACAGCAAAGATCCAGGAGTATCGGGTGCAACACGAAGACACCAGCTTCGTACTCGTTGATACACCTGGCTTCGACGATACAGATGTTCCAGATGAAATAGTCTTGCAATCGATCACTGAATGGTTGACAAGCTCACATCACGACGGCCGGAGGCCTAACGGAATTCTTTACTTGCATCGTATCACCGATGTATGAATGCAAGGGACTGCCTTGCGGAACTTCACGATGTTCCGGAGTCTGTGTGATGATTTCTATAGCCACATTGTTCTTGACACATCGTTCTGGAGCACGTTGAACGAGGCTCAGGGAGGTGCTGCCATTGGAGAGCAAAGGGTTGATGAGCTGGTAAGCGACCACAGTTTCTGGGGTTCTATGGTTCAGAAGGGGTCGTGTGTCCAGAGGATTCCTAGCACGCTCGATGAAGCGAAACAACTTCTTTTGCACTTTTCGCGCTTCACCGAAGCAACGCTACGCATCCAAGACGAGATTGTGAACAAAAGCTTAACCCAAGAACATACCTCTGCCACAAGGGCGATCAAGGACGAGAATTTGAAAGAACTACAAACAGCACACGCGCGTGATAAGCAAGAGGTGGAACGTACTTATCTTGCAAGCTTACAAGCCATTGAACAACAGAGAGCACAAAGCCAACGTCACGCTGAAGAGCAGCAGAGGAAGATTCTATCACAACAGGAACAAGAAAGGCAACTTCAGGTTGAAGAGCATAGGCGATTGCACGAAGACCACAACCGGCAAGTAGAAGCTGCCCGGCAACAGATGGAAAAGCTTCTACACGAGCAGCAGCAAAAGGAACTACTTCTGCATGCGTAGCAGGAAGTGGAACGACTTGAACAACTTCTACATGAGCAGCAGCAGATGCAACTGCGCAAGACGAAGAGATTATCAGGGCTTATCCGATGGCGTAAGAGAGCGCATGGGTTAGAAAACAAAATAGACTCATTGGGACTCAAGCTCGGAGCCGGCGCTGCTAGCAACATCATCAGATGCAAGATCGGCGAGGTTCTTAGCAGTATGGGTTGTTGCGACTGGTGCTTCTCTGCGCTTTCGGGAGCTGGTCACTACAGTGAGTCGAAACGCACGATAAGACAAGCACATGATTGACGATCTAGAAGAATGCAAGAATGATATCAATCACAAAACTTTCGTCATCTGTCAGTCATGTTACGGTAGTGGCAAACGCTGCCCATATAATGGTGCTCAACAATTGCACGTCTGGCAACAGCACCAAACAAGCATAACAGGGAGTCTAACGTTAAGACCATAGACGCTAGGCTATCATCACTGCTAGAATGAATGAGAAGAATTCTATCTGTCTGAGTTCAACTGTACGGTGTATTTGGCACGGTGACGCGACCATGTTCAGACTGCTGGAGGTGCGAAAGCGGCACCTGGTGTGTGATGCCGTCAGTGCAATCCCAACTAGTTGTGCGGGCCTGAACTGATGACAGTCTGAATTGAGACCCCTCTATTGATGATCTGCTAGGTACGCAATGGCGATGTGGTGTATGTGTGGGTGAGGGTCTCGCGATGGTTCGCCGCGCTCGTAGGGCTGTCAACCTATGCATATAATATTATATTAGATCGATTCTCTTTCTCTTTCACATACGACCATAGGACACTGAAAATTAGGCTTCCCGTCCGCTCAGCCATATACAAGCAGTGTACCGGCGGATTAGTAGTTAGGTGGGTGACCACTAGCGAATCCCCGCTGTTGTATGTTTTTGTCTTTTTATTTTTGTTTAAATGAGTCGAGCCTTTTTGCTTCCCTTGAACTGGTGTGCGAAAGGATATCAGCCGGCGTGTTAATGACATGTCTGCACCCCTTAGATCTTGCGCCGTCGAAGTCCGGCTCGAAGTGGAGAAGTCCTGTGTACTTTTGGCTCAGCATTTGGACTGGCTCTTTGAACTCTCATAGGGATCTTTCGAGCTGCCCGGTTTGAACCAGCACTACTACCTTGCCGTCTTCCAGTCGCAAGTCTCTGGACTATGCTTTGTATTCTTTTCGACCTTGCGGTCTCCGTACCTGTCTCTACACTTAACAATGCAGCATATCTATCGCTCCTGTTCATGCTTTCCCAACGAGCTTTCGCTGCGGGCACTCGAGCAAGCGCATCCTTGAGGTCATCAGGCGTTACGATTGTAGCAGAGCCCGCGTATGCACGATCCCATCTTCCGTCTGCCTTCGCAGCATCGATGGCTGCCAGACCGGCAGGACGCATCCGGCCGTCCTCGATGAGACGCGATACCGTCCCAACATTCTTTTGAGACCATATACTCTTCGCTCGTCTCGGCGTATAGCGCACTGTCCAAAACGCGTCATCGCAAGCGTTGGCGCGACCGTCGATCCAGCCATAGCACAGCGCGACTTCGACAGCTTCAGCGGCAGTTATCGACGGTATACCGGAGCTCTTCTTGGCAAGCTTAACGTAGACGCCCGGCGCAGTGGCATGTTCGCGCTCGAGGAAAGCCTCGAAGTCTGCAGGCGTTGCAAATGTTTGTGTAGGAAACTCAGACGGTGTTGCCTTGGGCGGCATGGTGGGTGTGGGGTTGTGGAGAAGTCGAGGAGTACACGGTGCGGGCCGCCGTAGCTTACGGACAAGATGTATACGAAGAGGAAAACTAGCAACTGTCAAGGCTAATGGTATGCGCAAAAGCATTAGCAGTGACTATGAGTGAGGAGTATTCGCGGAGCCGCGTCGTACATGTTTCCATGATACGTTCTGGAGTCAGGGGCGCAGCAACGCGTCAGGCGCGCCGTCGCATGAGCACGTGTACGCCTAGCGAATACAGCATGTTGGCACAGAAGGCGATCACAATAGCGAAGTAGCGCTGGTACATATATTCCATAATCTCAATTGATGTTAAGAACACCTTTTGCACACCCAGATGCCTACCCCATGCCCGAATACAGCAAAACAATTCCATAGGATGCTTTGTCGTTGTCACATAATCGCATCGAGGCAAATCATGCCCCGACTTTCGCCCTCTTTGTCATTTGTCCTTATTCCCTAGGCCCAACACTTGCCCTCTTCGTTCCCACCACTCCACCACTGCTCTCTTTCTTTGCCTTCACAGACTCACAACTGACCATGCTCTAACGTTCTGGTAAGCAACCGGTGAGAAGCAGGCGGAGATACGTGGAAGTAGGTGGTGGTCCAAGTTTAGTACTATACGCCGAGACGCTTCCGCTCCGCATATAGAGCCAAGTCAAGTTGACGTGCTCGTTCATGCAGGCTGTTCGTATTAGATAGCGAAGCTCTGTTCATCCTTTCTAGGCCCCAGTCCTCGCTTTACACCGTCTTTCAAGCTCTCCCAATTAACACCGTCTATCCTGCGGCCACGAGTACCAATATCAGCGGCAACATCGGTTAGCTTGCCGGTCGCAATCCTACGCATCATGATCAGATCTTGCGCGCTCTGGAATGTCCTCCCCCTGCCCTCAGTGAGAAACTTCTCGATGTGTTCCTCCTCTTCTTTGGTAAACGGCAGACTGACCAGCTCGAAAGCCTTGGCATCTCGCGTGTACACCTCGTGTTCGGGGTCCTGAGACCAAGCGTTGTGGTCTAGGGTTTGCTCGACAAGGAGTTCCAGCAGCGGCTTCTGCTCATACTCTGGTCTGCTGTGAATCCACTGGTACATCTCCGTGACATTACGACCTGCAAGATACTTGGCAAACTCGTCCCTAGTTTTCTGGTCATCCAGCGGCGGCCGTACGCAGTTATAGTACGCTAAAGCTAATATATCGTCCTTGGGATCCCTTGCCATGCCCAAACTGCTCAGCTTATCGTTTCCAGTCAGAAGTGTGTACATGATCTCATCAGGGAAAGTCGGTATTATGCCCGGGTACGTCAAGTGGCCGACAGCTGTCGAGAACTGGAGATGGTCTAGGAACCAGAGTCCTTCGACGAATGTCCAAAACCGCTTCTCAAGGTGTACGTCTTTCGCAAATGCTTCCGATAGTTCAGTCGCTTCGTGGTGTTGTGCTGACAAGTCTTTGAGCAAGTAAAACACTAGGCAGTGCTTGTTGTGTAGTGTGGTATTGGAAGAGATTATACGCTGGTGGAGGTCTTGGAGTTGTTGCGGGGTTTTGGGAGGGTACATCTTGCTTCCTACATTCCGGTTAGTCCATCGTTAATACCAAAAGAGATGACGACTTGCCCTTGATGTTCAACAGTGTCAACAGCCGCTCGAAGAAGGTTCGTCCACCGAGCGCAGTCCTGTATGTTTGAATTTCCTGAACAAGGCCATCATTATAGTACAGGCCGTGATAAACAGCGTTAAAGTCTTCGACGTCAAGCATGGTGTTGATCGAGTGGAGCTTGTTTAGGTGGGGGGGTGTCGCGCTCCAGATGTTGATGGACCTGTTTTGATTCGCGCACGCCAGTAGTTTGATGTTGCCGGCACTCGCGCAGTCACGTGATGATCTCGATAGCCTTAGCGCCAAACTCACAACTACCGCTTTGGATGCATTCATATACCATTGCAAGACATGTTCCGCGCTGTCCAGAGTTCTTAACCTCAAAAATCTACTCGAAACTTTCTCCACTCTTCACTTAAGTCTACGCGCTGTGTCTTACTTTTTTGTCATCTCGCACCAGCTTGAGACCACAGGTACTCAATTCCTAACAGTTGAACTATTATGTCCAACCACTATGCTTGTAGACTGTGAGCTTGGCGTAGCCACATACCCCTCACACAAGCATATACAACCTTGGTCCTCCGAATCCATGCAGTGTTTCAACTTGTTCCAGTACTGGTGGTGGAGTAGCAGATGGCAGATCAATTTCAAGAAATATGGAGTCGCAGTAAAACGATACCGTGCCAAATACTATTGATCGTATGAGCGAGCACGCAAGGCCTAGGGTATATAATCCACGGCACCATCGCACATCAACCCAAGCCATATACGTTGCATTGCGAGACTCGACTGATCGGGGTTTATGAAAGGCGCAATCAGCGATCGCATGGCCTGACTGCGACATGCATGGCAACTGAGACTCCTCGGCAACAACAAAGAGCGGAGAGTCGGGTCGACAGTTTCCGAAAGCCGATTGCATGGACTTAAGGACAGTCAAGAACTCCATGGCTTGGCTTCGGGATCAGATGATGGAGAAGTATCTTCGAAGAAGGTAAAGTCGATGTTTGCTCAAGCGAATGGTTGTCCGCGCGGCCCACCCACTTCGTGTGTTAGCGATTCGCACCTTGCAGGATCGGTAGACCTTTGCATTAACAACGTTATCCGAATGCTGCAAAGGCTAGGCAGAAACTTGGAGGCCTAATGAATAATCACTCCGATGCGATGAGTCAAACCCGGGGCTGCAAGGCTGGAAGGTGCTCAGTGTTGGCATCTGATGTAAGGTTGTGTCGGCATTAGAGTGAAGGCCTGATCGGTATGCGGACAAAGACGCCGAAACAAGAGACTACGGTTCTAGAATCCAGTCGGCTGCGAAAGTACATCGACAAGAGCGATCAAGCATGACATGACGAGTTGCAGTCAAGTCACTGTCACTGTGAGCATCTGCGAGCTCGGAAGTGGCCGGATAACATCAGAACACATGGAAATCGGAACCTGATCATTTAGCGGTCTGCGCACAGGATTATACCCGTCTTTAGTGCGCGTTGCCAAGAAGAAACAAAGCTTAAGTGGATTAGAGGTATGGCGCAGGTGACTATGACAATGTGAAAGCCAATGATGTCTTCCGCAAGGGTGTGGCTCGGGCGAAGCCTGGAGATAGCGGTGATGGAATTTGCGCAACTTTGCTAGGGAAAAATATGATCTGACAGGCGCGTGGTCTTAGTTTCCGGCGTACCCTAGACCAAGGTGGTGAAGATCGCATGTGAATCTTCGATTCGAACACCCTTCGCCAACGGAAGGCCGAGACGGATAGTCGCTGTCACCGGAATCCGACGCAACTCAGACCTGTCCTTGTTACAAGCATGACGTGACACAGTGAGTCTGTTACAAGTGCGCGATGGCGTTGGGATTACACTTTGTAGGACTCCGTAATAGACAAGTTTTGCTGTCATGATGAATTTATTGCGACTAGCATGGCGAGGTTTGCCGGTGGAGTGTAAGATGCCATTAGTGGTGGCTGACGGAATGGTCCTCGAGTCCGTGCTTGCCCGGACCCACCTTGCGCCTGACATTCGCATAGGACGTCACAGCCTGCGAAGAATGCGATGCTATCGGAGTAGCTTCGCAGCTGACAAAACTTCTGTCGCTATGACTTGATCAAACTCGTCGTTCCGAATCTTCCGGAAACAATATAGATGCGAGCCACGCCCATGGCGCTGGCAGCCACATGCATTGAAACACCTCTTACTATTGCGTCCGCTGTTTCCCTACAGTCTTGCATCTTCTTATATCTCCAACTGCACGTACCGAATTACAGCAGACTTTCATACGACTGGCTTGCGTATTTCCATTGCGACACTACCAGCTTTGCGCAGCACTGTCTATACCAAAGGCTTTAATTTTTCGTTGAGAGCAACACATATGCCGAATCGCGGAAGTTTGACAATAGCCGCTGCAGCGCTGCTGCTCGAGTTATTGCCGCTCGTGACTGCGCATGGAGACGGGGCTAGCATGGACATGAGCGTACATGATGCGCCGGAATCGCAACCACAGATTACCGGCTTTGGAGGCTATTGGAGTCTTTCTGAACATGCATCGCTCATGTATTGGCACATAGGGCTCGAGATTCTAGCCTGGGTTTTCATTTTGCCAGTCGCAGTGATGTTCAGCATCGCTTGTTCAAGATTTACTCTACCTTCACAACTGGCATTCCTCGCTACCAATGCGCTAGCACTTGTGCTCGGCCTTGTATACGACCACAGGACCCCAGAGATGTATGCAGGGAACGCACACAGTAAGACAGGATGGGCCATTACCTGGATCGCATCAGCATGGGTGTTTTTGGCTCTCATTCAGGCCTACGCTAGGAGGCCTGAATCGCATTCCAAGGAGGACGAGTTAACGACCGCAAATATGCTTAGATATCAGCGCGTACACGACGAAGAGCTCCCTGCTCCATCACGATGGTCTGGCGATTCGGGCCAAGGTACAGAACGCAACTCGGCATCTCTGTACGACCATTCCCAGTCTCCTAGCGTAGAATCGGAAAACCAGCAATTCCCTGGCCCTGTACGAAAGCCTACACACGATGATGACTCTTTCGGGGACGGCGACGAGGACGACGAGAAGCGCGGCTTTCTTCACAATACTTCCATAGATCATTTCTTCTCCCGCAATGTGGCTCGCTTTGCAGTTGGACGAACACTCCAGGCAATCCGCCTCCTCTACGTGATGGTCGAGCGCACAATACTAGTGCAGGGTTTTGTGGGAATAGTCAGCGGTGCTGTCGTCTATGGCGGTATCGGGAGAGGAGGCGCGGTTTTCAACGTTTTGGCACACACAGTAAAGGGAGGGATCTTCTTTCTATATGGCTTCCTCACACTCGGCCGATGGATGGGTGCATTTGCAGATTTCGGTTGGGCATGGAACGTTAAGCCAACAAAAGAAGTTGTCGGTCGTCGGAAGGCGGCGCTACCGTCGGCAGAGTTTACCGAATCCTTCGTCATCTGGCTTTACGGCTGTACGAACGTATTCCTGGAGCACCTGGCTGCGTGGGGCGATGCATGGACCGCTCAGGACCTGGAACATGTGTCAATCTCAGTTATGTTCTTTGGTGGTGGTTTGGTAAGTAGAGCCTTATTTCCTTCTCGCGCAACATCGCTAACCTTCCTAGTTGGGCATGTGCATCGAGTCGACAAGAGTGCGAGACCTTCTCAACAGCGGAGTGGTCGCGTCACAAGCAACCTCGCTGCAGAATGAATCCTGGCAACAGCCAAGCCAATACCGCTTCTCCATGAACCCACTTCCAGCCCTTATCATTATGCTGCTCGGCAAGATGATGAGCTCTCACCACCAAAGCTCAATGGTCTCGACCATGATCCATACCCAATGGGGCAGCATGTTCATGGCGTTCGCTTTGGCCCGTGGTCTGACCTACATTACTCTGTACATCTCACCACCGACTTCCTTCCTTCCGTCCCGACCACCTACGGAAATTATCACCGCCTTTTGTCTGATTTCGGGTGGTATCACCTTTATGGTCAGCAACAAGGATACCGTTGCAGCTCTTGAATCGTATAACCTCGATGCCATGTTCATCTTTACGGTTGTCATGGGCCTTACCGCACTCCTCATGGCTTGGACCACAGTGGTCATTGCTATCAAGGGGTGGGCTTTACGAAAAGAGAGCAGCAGCCAGCATGCAAAGCGCTATGCTGGAGTGTTGGCGTGAACGTCATCTTCACGGGATACCCTTCATCGATCGGTTGGCATTAGATGTTTGAACCGCAGGAAGTTGAACTTCCAACCTGATACCCTATTCTTCATCTTTTCTTACGACCTTAACGCAGTCTTGGTTCATGAGTTTATTGCAGTATACCCCTTTCTCCAGGAAGGCAGCCTAGATAACTGCATTTGCTGCCTCTTTTGTTTTGGGTCGACAATAGTAATGAAGTCCGTCTTGAGAGTTGGACACAACAAAACCAGGAGGCTGTGGTAATGATAGAAGGACGATGACTCTGGAAGTTAATACTAGTTCGCATCGACTGCAACTAGAAATGTAGTAATGCGAGTCTATGGCCAAGTAGGAGAATCGAAACTTTAAAGCACAAGCTTCTTCATTTACCTGATCTATGCATTTCTCCGGATATCACCACATATGCATGGTGTGCTCAACGTGCTCCGCGACCCCGTCCAGCAATCCCTCTTGCTATGCCTGTGGCGCCCCTGGCTGCTCTGGGAGCACCCCCGCGCGTGGGTATACCGCCGCGCCCCCCTGCTCGCGGTATTCCCCCTCTTCCTCTAGGCACACCTGATGTTTTTGCAGCTGGTGCCGGCGTTTGCGGATTCTGGAATTTGGAAGCAATTTTGCTGCTCGGTGGGTTGTCGACGAAGGAAGTGTCGGTCGTCAAAAATGTGGCTTCCATGTCTTCAGGGCCTTGGGAGCGATTTAGATTTGCAGCACCCTGATCAGGCTGGTTCTGTGGTCGCTTGAATGATTCTTGAACAGGAGCCTACAATTCCCACATTAGTAAACATGCTGCATTATACCTCGCCCCACGTCTTCTCCTCTTAACTCTCTTGTCACACACCTCAGGAAAGTCTACGCAGAAAGCGTTCATGTTCATCCCGTATAGAAAGCCTGCAAAACTCTCTGAGAAGCGTGCCAGACTTTCGTGCATCAGTTGCAATTGCAGGAAGTTTTGTTCAAGATCCGCCATTGCGTCGCTCAACTCAGCAAACCCATCTTGCAGCCCCTCTAGTGCGTTGCCGGACGCAGAAGCAGCGCGACCGCGCTGGGATGAGTCGCGCAAAGAAGAGCGCGAAGAAGCGCGGAGGGGTGTAGTCGGACGTGATCGAGGTGATTTGCTGCGTGTGCGTCGGTACGAGGGCGTAGTCGTGGGCGTTGTGGAAGCCATTTGTGCTCGGTGGGAGATGTCTTTACTAGGGAAGTTCAGCGCGACAGGCGACCAATTGCAGTGTCGACGAGATGTGCCTCGAGTGCTATTGCTGTCTTAGAGCGCGGTCTTAGTTCGGGCACGATACGAAGTAAACAGTACCCCACAACGCAGGGCAATTACGCTAAGACGGATTGGTTGATGATGCCATGGCTCTTGCTCCCAAAACTGCGCCTGTGCCTCCCTGTCTTGGGATATCGCATTCAGCAAATTACCACCGGACGCGACTTGGAGCGGCTTACTTCAAGGCGTCCCGCTGCCGTATCCAATACGTAGAGTCGTGGCTGCAACTTTCGTCCGACGCATCCGAAAAGCTCTGCCGACGTCACACTAAGCAGACGCGAGCACTTGTCACCTCGAGGCTCAGCCATCTGACACTTTTCCATGTTGCCTCGCGCACAGCCCCTACGAAGACTACTTTACACCTCTACACCCCGCGCTCGACTGTCTGCGTATCCTCCGGAGCACCGCATCGCCCCACCTGCCCTCTCTAGCTCTACCAACCGGGTCACACGCGCATACATACTACATCACAGTCCGCAGAGCACGGCGAGGGCACCTCACAAGGAGAGCGGAACCACCTTTTGGACTGTAGGAATAGTCGCTGGAATCGCAATTGGCAGCGCACTGCTCGTTCCCTTTGTGCACAACTCCCCCAAACCGCAGGCAGCAAAGCAATCCACCCCCGATCAGTTTGAAATCACACATCTGACAGACTCGTACCTCGTCATGGCGCCGAACACTCCCGCAGGGAGGCCAGGCACTCTCACAGCAGAAGAGGATAAGAAGCTACGTGAGCTCTGGGCAATTGTTATGAAAGTCTTCGGTGTGGAAGTGGGGCCGGAAGCTACGAACGGCGCTGACGAGGTCGCATCGCCCACCACAAGCGAGGCAGCAGCAGACGGCAAGAAGGACAAGAAGAAGAGCAGGCTGAATGTGTTCAAGAGGAACAAAGGCGAGAAGGGTGCAGACGACAAGGCATCGACTGCTTCTGGAGGCTCTACTCCCTCGGACATCAGCAGATTGTCCATATCGGCTGATGATGACAAGTTTGGCCAAACCGCAGAGTTCAAGGCGGCGATAGCCAATATTCCCCCGGAAGAGCTGCGAAGGACCTTCTGGAGCATGGTGAAGCATGACCATCCTGATGCTCTTCTTCTTCGCTTCCTGCGCGCACGGAAATGGGATGTAGAGAAGGCACTTGTCATGATGATTTCTACAATGCAGTGGAGATTGAACGAGATGCACGTCGACGACGATATAATGAAGACGGGAGAGCTCGCTGCGTTGCAGACCGCAAGCACGGATGCCAAAGCTAAGAAGAACGCCGATGACTTTTTGACACAGCTGCGCATGGGCAAGAGTTATCTGCACGGCTTGGATATTGAGGGGAGACCAATGTGTTTTGTTCGTGCGAGGTTACACAAGGCCGGTGAGCAGACGGAAGAGAGTCTAGAAAGATTCACAGTGTACACCATTGAGACAGCGCGCATGCTGTTGAGGCCTCCGATTGATACAGCCGTAAGTTTATCTGAATTCCGTCCAGGTCATAAGATCAGGGTTATTGACCAAACGCAGACTATCGTCTTTGATATGACCGACTTTTCCATGGCCAACATGGACTACACACCGGTAAAATTCATGATCAAGTGCTTCGAGGCAAACTATCCGGAATCACTTGGTACCGTCCTCGTCTACAGAGCACCCTGGGTTTTCAACGCTGTATGGAGCATCGTCAAGGGCTGGCTCGACCCCGTCGTCGCCGGCAAAGTACACTTCGCAAAGACGATTGACGAACTAAGCAACTATGTACCAAGGTCACAGATTCCAACTGAGTTGGGCGGAGACGAAAAGTGGGAATACATGTACCCTGAGCCTGTACCTGGCGAGAACGACAAGATGGCCGACGAAAAGCCCAAGCAGGAGCTGCAAAGCGAGAGGCAACAGATCGTCGACAAGTACGAGACTACGGTGCTAGAGTGGGTACACGCGGGTGACAGCGTGCCAGCGGAGGAGAAGAGGAAAGAGAGGGATGCCGTTGCAGAGCAGTTGAGGCAGAATTACTGGAAGCTGGACCCGTACGTTCGAGCACGCTCGCTGTACGACCGCGCGGGCGTCCTCCTAGACGGAGGCAAGCTGGAATTCTACGGCAAAGCACCTGAGCCTGCAGTTGCACCCGCAAAAGCAACAGAAACGAGCGCCGATGACCTTGACTAGGACTCGAAAGCTCAGCTACTCCGGCGGTACAGCACTTTCAACACGTTGGCGGGCGCTTGAAAACAATCATAGCCCCTTTTCCTCATATCGCTGTGTTGGTGGCACGACCGGTCTAGTATCTATCGCTCTAATGTGTAGTAGTCTATCAAAACCACAAAAACTCTGTATAGCCTCGCATCCCTTTTGATTGTTCGCCTTGAAAAACGTACTTGGCCCTAATAATATCTCTTCCGCTTGGTAGCATCCGCTCCTACAACTGCCTAGGTACTAAAACCCACATGGTCTGCTTTTCTCCTTTCCTTCCTTTACCGCCTTGACACGTTTCACTTCCGACAGAGTAGTCCTAAAGTCGGGCGCCACTGCAGAGATCGATCCAAGACATTTCATTCGATGAAGGCCCAAAACTCCGATCGCAACGATGCACTAGCGGAAATGACGTCATGTTCCTGCTTCGGAACGCCTCTTTTGTTTTGCCCTTTAACCTCCATTGCTTCTTCTTCGGCCTTTAAGTGCTTTAGCTCGGTGGTTGTGCTCCGGGTGTTTGGTCCCCCTTGGACTAATGGCATCTTAACATAACGTCCGCCAACCTCGCAGATTTATGAATCTACTTGTGCTGTTTCTCTAAGTTGTGCATGGCTCTAACGACGATCGGCATTTTGGCAACCTAACGTGTCTCCTGCATCTTGGTGTGTTGTCTGGGTTGTGAGGGGTGCTGATGGTGGATTGGATGACATGTTCGTTCGCAAAGGTGTGGTGCGACAATCTCGGATCCAGCGTCCTTTTTTTGTCCTAAATTCGGTGCTGGGATGTATGGTGTTCCATCGGAGGTAAGCACAGAACATTAACAGGACAAAACTGCCATACGCTTTGAGTCGAACGAGATGTTGTTGTTGTTGTTATACATGACTTTCGTGCTGTGATTTACATGCTATGAAAACGCTCTATGAAGTGGCTTTGATATCCCTGCCTCCTTTCGTTCGATGACTCTCGTGATTGCTCACTTCATCCATCTTGTTAGCCATTTCTTCCGCGTTTCCAAGACCGGTGTCTATCGTCTCGGTAGTTTCATCAACTCGCTCTCTAGGGACCCCTTCGCCCATTCGCGATGTGGATCCGGATAGGATTTTCCCGGCGTCTGTCTTGTCTCCGTCTTTGTCGCCATCAGCCATGATGAGGCCCTGTGCTGGCTGGTAAGTGATGTTGCCTTGAGCGGCGGCAGCGAGACGTTGCTTTTGGCCTGTTTCTCCGGCGCGACCTAAGACTCCAGCGATGACCTGTATGCAGCGGAGACTGAAGTGCATTAGCATGAAGCACTAGTTATTATGCAAAGCTGGCTTACCTGTCATCGTTTGCGGGAATAGGATAGGTGACCCAGGTAGGATCTGCGTTGGTATCAATGACACCAATTGTGGGGATGTTGTTCAGCGCACACTCGTGCAGCAAGACGTAGTTCTCAAGCGGGTTCATACAGACTACGAGATCTGGTCGGAGGACGGGTCGGTCGTAGAGCTGTTCTTCGAAGCCTGGGACTTCTTCGTCTAGCTCGTTGACTACCTTTGTTTTGCATCTGCCCAAGATCTGCTGGCCGTTGGTGATGCTTCCGGGGATCCAGCGCTCGAATAGATGATATCCCTTGGCTAGCTCGGCTGCGCGGGCGACTGCCCTATCTTGCCCGTCGCGTGTACCAACGAATAGGATCATACCTCCGCGCCGCGCAACTTCCTGTACCACTTTGGCGGCTCGGCGCAGGTGGGCTGCGGTGACTTCAAGGGAGATGATGTGGACACCTTGTCGTATACCGTGAATGTAGCGTGCATTTGCGGGGTTCCAGAGGGAAGTGACATGGCCTTGGTGGGCCTCGGAGGCGAGGAGCAACTCCAAGGTAACGTCGGCGGGGGAGGGTGGATGGTTCAGGAGGGTGTGCGGTTGGTAGTGAGGCTCAATCTGGGTTCCTAGCTTCCCCATCTGCTTGGCTGGGACATGTCAACGGGCTGCAGTCGGGGATGGGGAGACAGATGTCATACACTGCTGCTTGTACAGGTGGTACTGCTGGGCGACATTGTCGGAGGCAGATTCCGAGGTTGCATGGGTCTCGGGGTCGACAGAGGGCACCGGCTGCTGGAGGTGGGTGTTGAGCTGGGCCTCTATCGACTGCAGCTGCTTCAGGCTGTTTTCGGTCGAGGCTTCAATCGAGTCGGTCTCGGTGGAGAGAAATCGCTGCAGCGGGCGGGACGACTGTCGGGCGTGTCGTGCGAGTGCCCGGGGCGCTGTGCAGCATGTCAGCAGTTGCGTCCATCTCGGATTGATCACCACCCACCACTGCGCGCTGCTAGACTCCTCAATATCATTTTGCGTCGCGTGCAGTCCCGTCGTGATGGTCCAAAAAGTCTCGAGCGATGGTGCCAAGCGTTGGATCGCGCTAGGCCGCTTTGGGCCGACGTGCATCTGATGGGGCTCCAGACATGGGCGCCCGCGGGCTTCCCTTCAGTCAGGTCAGGACCGATAGAGGCGCCCTCAGCCGATAGCCGTCAGCATCAGATCATGTGTGCCAGTGATGAGGCGCTGCGAGGGGCTCTGGGTGCATCGGTCCCACCGGTAGGGCAGAGCATGGCATTGTGCAAAATGCCATATGTTGGTCCCTGCTGCTGTCGCTCGCCTCTTGCTTATCCCATCCCGCGCCGCCTGTGCTCAAGGTGCTTGTGCCGCCCCCAATAATTGCTCGCGTGAAGCCACTGACATGCTTCCGTCATCTTCTGCAGCTATCCCGCACGCGGCCTTTTGGCTTGGCACCTAGCGCATTCCACTGACGCTACACATCCTCGCTCTTCGCATCCCAACCTTACACGCCCAGCCCTGCCCTGCCCCATATTGACCAACGTGTTGCTGCACCTGAGCTGCCGCCTCTGAGCCCATCCGCTGCCGCCGCCCTCGAATGTCGCTTGTGAGACGCTGCACTCCCCGCCGCCGCGACCCGTCCACCCAGCGAAAGAAGCGATAGCGCACCACCGCCGTGCCCACGGGCGCTGCCCACTCCCTTTGATGCCTACAACCCCGTGCCGGACGACCGACCTCGCTGCTCTTGACATCTGAGCATCCCCGCCCGCCACCATGAATGGCTATCCATATCCCGCCCGGCCCTTCAACCAGGCCAACAATGGGAACGTGATGATGAACATGAACGGGGACGCCATGAACGGCTTCAACATGGTCGAGGGCCAGTCGCTGGACTCAATAGTCGCGCAGAACGACAAGGACAACCGCCGGCGGAGTATGCCCGTCTACGCTAGAGGGCCGCAGCAGCAACAACAACAACAACAACGACAGCAGCAGCAGATAAATCTTGGCAGCCCCGACACGCGCAGGTTGAGCATGATGAATTTCGGAGATCCCAATGGGGGCGACATGGACGATTTCCAATTCGATATGTCTACCGCGGCCATGGACAACATGATGCGCAGCAACACTTTCCCGCGAACAACTGCCGACATACAAAACGACCAGCTGCCTGCTGCGGACCTCAACATCAACACCCAGTTCCAAAGCCAGGCTTCTCCGTTCCCAAACATGGCCACTCCTGGCTCTGCGTACGCTTCGCCCATGCACCAGAAGAATTCTATCGACCTGGATATGGGATCGTATCAGAACGGCATGACCATGCCTCTGGACATGGACGACTCGCTCAATATGATGCCAACTGATATGAACATGTTTCCCGGCAACCAGTTCAACACCCCCATGTTAGATTCTCCCCTCAACCAGGACTTTGTTGGGCCCATGCCTGCTGCCCCCCAAGGGAATGACACGCCATCAGGACAAGCTCAGGACCAGTTCAAGCGGCCTTCACTGAACAACACGCCCGAAGTCAAATCAGGGAGATCCAGCTTCCTCAGCCGTACCACTAGCCAGGACCAGTCCAGCATGCGTTCTACTTCCCGGCCCCAGAGTGAACATCGCTCCTCCAACAGTGTCCCCACACGCATGACTTTGGCCTCACTACAAAACCAGCAACCTATCGGACAAGATCCTGCACAAGACCTACCCAAAGAGGTCATGAACAAGCAACTGCAGGATTTTAAAACCCCATGGCAGCAGCCTGCAGGCGGATTTCCGTCTACGATGCATCAAAATCCTCACATGAAGACGCAGTTCAAGAATGCTTACTCGTCGACAGGATTCGACATGCTCGGAGTACTAGTACGTTCCTGGATCACTTTGTCTGAATGCCAATTGCTAATATGCAGGTAGATGCGCGTAGCTACCAGACCTGACCCCCAGATCGATATCGGCTCTGTCGATCTTTCGTGCGCTTTTGTCGTTTGCGATGCCGAGCTAGACGACATTCCTATTGTTTACTGCTCAGAAAACTTCGAGCGACTCACCGGCTACACAAGACATATGATTCTTGGACGGAATTGCCGCTTCTTGCAGGCACCTGACGGAAAGGTCGAATCTGGAATCAAGCGAAACTACGTTGACGACGATTCGGTCTACTATCTCAAGAACATGATTGAGAGTCGTGCAGAAGCGCAGATCAGCTTGATCAATTACCGAAGAGGCGGTCAACCGTTCATGAACCTTCTGACCATGATTCCCATCGCTTGGGAACCAGGCGGCAAAATGAAGTTTTTTGTCGGTTTCCAGGTTGACCTTGTGGAGCAGCCCGGAGCCATGACTAACAAGAACTCAGGTAGGCCCTCGTATCTAATAAATATACCCGTGTGTGAACTGATCATGTTATAGATGGTTCTTACCGGGTCAACTACCAGCGCGGGATGTCCATACCGAGTTACGTTTTCAGCGACCACCACAAGCCACAACAAGCCGAACAAGGCCAGACCATCTCCAAGGATGAGGTGTCGAACGTGCTCGCTGCGTATAGCGGAAGCGGCGATTCTGAGATGACAAGACGTATCTGGGATAAGGTCCTGCTTGAGAACAGCGACGACGTCGTCCACGTCTTGTCACTCAAGGGACTCTTCTTGTATCTGTCACCAGCCAGTAACAGGATATTAGAATACGACCCTAGCGAGCTCGTCGGAACAGCACTGTCGTCTGTCTGCCATCCTAGCGACATCGTTCCGGTCACAAGAGAACTGAAGGAGACTACCAATGGCGCATCAGTCAACGTTGTGTTCAGGATACGACGGAAGAAGAGCGGATACATGTGGTTCGAAGGTCATGGATCCCTCCATACTGAGCAAGGGAAGGGTCGAAAGTGTATCATCCTCGTCGGCCGTGAACGCCCAGTCTATACTCTGAGCAAGGCTATCGTACGCGAGTCTGGCGGCGTCGGTGATAACGAGCTGTGGACGAAGATGTCTACATCAGGCATGTTCTTGTACGTTTCGTCAAACGTGCGCCAGTTGCTCGATAAGCAGCCTGAAGACCTTGTCGGCACTAGCATACAATCTCTCATGCGCCAGGAGTCAAAGATCAACTTCGGCCGGATTTTAGAGCTTGCCAGAGGGGGCAGGAAAGGCGAGGTCAAGCATGAAATGATTAACAAGCGTGGCCAGGTTCTACAGGCTTTTACGACAATATATCCTGGAGATGCAACGGAGGGCCAGAAACCTACCTTCGTCGTTGGGCAAACGCGACTCCTCAAGTATTCGCGGAATAGCAATGCCGGCCGCCCATCCATGTATACAAATACCAAGCATGAGCGCGACTCCCACAACTCTATTCATACCCAGATGTCAGGAGCAGCATCACCCGCCGCGGGGTCTTTGACTGGACCTGCTGGTTCAAACACACCAATGACGTCCAACACGAATCCACTGTTCGTCACTACCGAGGAATCTCCTGCTACATTCGCTGGACACAATGGCCTCCAGCTCGGCCATCAAGACCAAAGTCTAGCCTCAGACGACAACGTATTTGACGAACTGAAGACGACGCGAAGCACAAGCTGGCAATACGAGCTACGACAAATGGAAAAGCGGAATAGATACCTAGCAGAAGAAGTCCAGAGCCTGTTGGCAGCCAAAAAGAAGAGGAAGCGCAGAAAGGGTGCTGGCCAAATGCAGAAAGACTGTGCAAACTGCCACACGAGAACAACGCCCGAGTGGCGCAGGGGTCCTTCAGGGAACCGGGACCTTTGTAATTCGTGCGGATTGCGGTGGGCCAAGCAGGTAAGTTACAACTCTCACTCCTGACAACATCGTTAGAACTAACGCGAACTCTCTTCACAGCAAGGGCGAGTATCACCTAGAACATCCTCCGCCGCAAGCGACAAGAGCAAGAAAAGCGCTTCACCGCGCCACTTCTCAACAAGCCACCAGAACCATCAGACTATCCTGCCTCATTCGATACCCGAGACCGGACAACAATCCTCCATCCCTTCGGCAATGGCTCCATCAACTAAACGATCGCCGCAGCAAGGCAGTATCAGCGAGTCTCATGCTACTAAAGCAGCGCGCACGGAAGTTGCGGCTTCGCAAGGCTTCATCCCGCCACCAGCGATCGACGAAGTAACGGAGCCGGAATCATGAGCATGATTGGTCGGAGCATCCTCTTCTCTACTACTACTTCACGGTTTTCCTCTTCTGTTTCGTGTCATTCTCCGCTTTGGTCCAACGATACCCCATTACTTATATTCCCTTTAACGAACTTCACATTCGCTTGCCGAGAGCGAATCGTCTTATGGGGGAGTTTTTAGACTCATATCCTCTTTTTTTCTTCTATCACTGTCTGATGCTTTATGATTTGGGGCGACAAGAAATTGGGGTGAGTTTGGTGCGTGTGGTCGATTTTTCTCGGCTGCCGGGTTCATAAAATTGGATGTTAAGAGATGAGGCGCAACATGCACGTAAATGTCTTGGGCATACTCGTTTGGCGGTAATGCGCTGTTGTTGTTTTGTTGTATATATCAGCGACAATCGGTCAAGTGTATGTGTTGGTTTGTCAGAATGCGTGGATCGCATGACTGACTCGATCATCTATATATCACATCACATCAGATCATATCAAATGAATAGTGGACCCGAACTAAGATGATCTGGACGAACTGCAGTAAACCCCAACAATTTCCTTGACCCATCGATCCATTTGTAACTCTTCCCCGCTCTCTTCCCGCTCACTCGCTTGTCTTCGACGCGACGATGTCCAGGAAAGCCTTAATTGTGGCGTAAAGTGGCCTCATTGTCGAGACCAAAATCATGCGGCAGTCGTATCACAGCATCAACAATCAAACCCAATATCCGGCCCTTTTGTTACGCTTGGTAATATACTTGCACAGGTATTGTCTGAAGCGCACAGCTGTTGCGCAACTTGGCGTTGAAGGTGAGATGCGATAAGAAAGGATCAATAGTCATGATCAAGGTTGTGTCATGGACTCGCCGTCGGCCTTGTCTTGCCTTGCTTCACTTCTAATCAGACAACCCACGCGTGGGAATGTGGCATGGGCGCGGCGTGTGTTGGAGGCAGCTCTAGAATACGTGATGTGGCGCTAGAAGGCTGCATGTTCCACGGAAGCAGAATGAGGAACGTGCAGGGGGGGCATGAGAGCTGCATGCAGGTTCCCGGGCAGTTAGCCCCGGCAGCACTCGTTAGTTCCAAGGTTCTTGGAAAGGCAGATTACAACTAGATTGGGGGGCCTAGGGAAAGCCAATGCCAACTACGCAGGCCTCTCTCTGTCCTGAGATGCAGAGGTTGTTGTGCAAAGGCTGGAGTGTCGTGCCTCGGTATCGCTTTGCATCGCGGAAGTAGGCTCCAATGACGAAAGTTCGTCAGGCAAATAAACTTCCTCCGTCGCACGTTGTTACCCACATGGCTTGGGCTCTCTCCCTCGTTCCCCCCTCATCAAGCCCGCAGCAGCCTCCCAATCAAACAAGTGGGGCCGTCTTCCGGCCATGATCCTTTGCATCCTTCGATCCCTTGCGGCCTAAGCGTCTGCGCCTTATCTGGGCTCTGTCGATGGTTTCTGTGCCATGACATGAGCGCGCGACAAGGGTACAAGGGTTTTACGTTCGCACCGAAAGTCAAAGATGGGATGGGTAAGGCTCGGATACCACCGCGAAAGAGGTAACGGGGGCATCAAGCGATCTTCATCCTTCATTTCTTTTTTTCGTCCAAAGTTGGCCAGCTTCATGCCTGATTCATTTCTAACGTTGCGCTTTGGATACTAGGGACCGTTTTGGGGGCACTGTTCGCTTCATTAATTTGTTGTTGGGGCTTTCTCTCTCTTGGGTATTACTATTACGAGGTGAAGCCTGCGCTGCGCTGCCTCTTCATTTTCTGGTTCTTGGTATTCTGGACTGCCGACGACAACGCTGCCTTGAGACGAGTCGTCAATCCTTCGCGCGACATCTTTTCTTGTTTCTGTGCCGTGGTTTACTTTTCGTCGGACCTGAGCGAGAAACGTTATCCATTCCGACTGCGATTCCGACCGCGAATTACAAGGACCTTGCGATCAAATTTCTGGGCCGAATTGATAGGATCCCGTCTGGGTAGCAGGAAAAGGAGTGTTTGCTTTAGGAAGGCGGTTTGCGTCAAGCGCATTCACGAGCATAGACAACTCGAAACGGACGCGGTTACGACCCAATTATCCGTTGCGTGGAAATCGCATACGTCTCGGGAACCAAAGCAGTTCGCATCAGGGCAACGCAAGAGGAGGACACAATGGACGAGAACAACAGGATAACAATCACGGTGTGTGGAGATGGAGGCTGTGGTATGCGCGATTCAAAGTCGGACTTGAAGCATTAAGACGCTGACTTGGTTACAGGAAAAAGTTCGATTACACTACGGCTTGTGAGGAGTCAATGGACATCTGAGTACGATCCTACGATAGGTATGTTGCCTTGCGCCTATGCTCGTCGCATCTGGCCTCACATAACTAACATTCCCCTAGAAGACTCCTACTCCGTAACTCGAACCGTCGATGGAGTCCCTTACTACCTCATGCTCACCGACACCGCAGGCCAAGAAGAATACCGGGGTCTCTGGGCAGCTTCGAACCTACAGTCCGACGCGTTTCTCCTCGTTTACGACATAACATCTGCCAACTCGCTCGACGCGCTAGATTACTTCATGGAGATGATAGAAATGGAGACAGAAAATCGATTAGACAATGGCAAGATACCACCGATCAAGTGCGTAGTAGGCAACAAGTGCGATTTACAAGGGCAAAGAGTCGTAGAGGCAAAAACAGGCCTCGAGTGGGCGAGACGAAGAAAGTGTGGCTTCATGGAAACGAGTGCGAGGGAGATGGTCAACATCGAAGAGACTTTTGCCTGTAAGACACCTCTGTCGCAATTACATTGCGCAAAAGACAATGTGAGAGGGAGATGAATTGGAATAAGGCTTGCTAACGTTTATCAAAGTACTCGTACGTCGCGTAGTAGAAGCACGCCGGCTCACTGCTGGAGACGGTCCTGCGAATCGAACTGCCGCTCTGCCTCTTCACTCGAACCCGAACCGAGACCCAAATGACTATGCGGCCCATACACAGAATGAAAAGGATAGCGAGAATGAGCCGAAACAGAGCTTTTGGAGGAAGCTCAAGTGCTGGTAGTCACATTGAATGTTTCTACGCATTACGAATGGCCTGAGATGTTGCATGGGGCATGCAAAATGATCCTGCGTCTTTTCTGCATGTTTTGTCTGGATCACAGCAAAAATGTTGCGAGAGGTTCCTCTAGACCCGTTGGTAGTCTGTCGTTCTCCTGTTGAACCCGGAGAAGCTTGCTCGACCCTTCTCTTTATCTCCTTGTCTGTATATATGTGTCGATGGGATAGGCGTAAAGTATTCGTATACGCATTGCATGGAAACGCTGATTAGCGAAAATCGGGGATCATGGGATATACTGGATGGCTATCTGAGTTTTTGGTCATTTTCAAAGCGTTTCAAGTCTTGCGTCTGCATCTTTCCTTGAACTGCTATCTATGTTCATGTCGAAACTGGAATGATACTGTTACAACTCAATGGTAGTGACAAGAATACTATCGCGAATGGAATCGCTGTAGTATGGCGAAATAGTGCAAAAGATGACCACATTGAGGCATGGGATGCAGCTAACCATCGGCTATCCAAGGACATTGCTAGCGCGTCTGTGCGCAAGCACGCCATTGGCTTTTGGAGCCTTTGCATGGCTTGGAATGACCTCGCAGTAGCTGTGAGTCGCGATTTTGAACAACGGCTTTACAAGGAAATTTCTCATCTCTTGGTGCTCACGCAAGGAGCGCATAGGGTGCCTCGAAAGTTGGTGACGTCGTAACTACCCCTCTATCAGGTCCGTGTCTACTCCGATAAGAGAGCAACAAGCAAAAAGAACCATTAGAGACACGGAAAGCGCGGAGAGCAGAATGTCAAAGCCTCATATTGAGCACGAGGAGCCTGTTCAGGACGGTCTCTCCCGGACACTCAAGGATCTCTTCGCAGGTGCAGTAGGAGGAGTCGCACAGGTACTTTCACTACTGCGCCTGTTTTCCGCCCAAACTGAACCTCATTTTTTAGGTACTCATTGGACAACCTTTCGACATCGTCAAGGCAAGTTATGACTGTACGAAATGCATGTGAGACATACACTGACACCGTATCTCCATACCTATAGGTTAGGTTACAAACAACATCACAATACTCTGGTGCCTTGGACGCTGCGACCAAAATCTACCAAAATGAAGGAGCACTTGCTTTCTACAAGGGTACGCTGACACCGCTCATCGGAATCGGAGCTTGTGTATCTGTTCAATTCGGTGGCTTCCACTACGCGCGACGTGCCTTTGAAGCTAGCAATGAGGCAAAAACCGGGAAAGGCCAACTCTCGTACTCACAGTATTATGCCGCTGGTGCTTTCGCCGGTATCGCCAACACCGCTCTGTCTAGTCCTATCGAGCACATCCGCATAAGATTGCAGACACAGCCGCACGGCGCGAACCGCCTCTATGCCGGCCCAATCGACTGTGTGCGTAAGCTCACTGCACACCAAGGCATCCTCGGCGGCGTTTACCGTGGCACAGCTGTGACATTCATGCGCGAAGCCCAAGCTTACGGCTGTTGGTTTACCGCATTCGAGTACATGATGAATGCAGATGCTGCGCGCAACAACATCGACCGTTCGGAAATCTCTACTCTAAAAGTTGCGGCTTATGGTGGACTCGCTGGTGAAGTGCTTTGGATAAGCAGTTATCCGTTCGATGTGATCAAGAGCAAGATGCAGAGTGATGCGTTTGGCAAGGAACAGAAGTACAAGAGTATGAGAGACTGCTTCGCGAAGACATATAGGGGAGAGGGTCTGGGTGGCTTCTGGAGGGGTATTGGACCGACTCTGTTGAGAGCTATGCCTGTATCTGCGGGTACATTCGCCACGGTCGAGGTAACGATGCGACTCATTAGCTAAGGAAGAACAAGAATCTGCACCGAGTTCGGTGAATCGGCGTTGCTTGAGCTCTGTACGATAAGCCCTGCAAATACGACCAAGGAACACGGCGGTTCTGAAGGATGCCTTGGGCGATCTATCGCACATGCCCACAGAGAGCACGATCCGAAGAGGGTCTGTAGCATCTACCGTGGAGAGAGCGGCCGATATGCATGTGCGACGCGATTGACTTCGTACCCTTCCAACAATGGCTAGTTACACGGCGTGAATACGACGGCGATTGTGTCTATCGTTCTTGCTCCATAACATGTTGTATGGCATCGCACCCAGCAAGCCCAAAGGCTATCTTGTTTTGTCACTGAGCCAGCATCAAGACACTTTCCTGACCCTCATCGTGTGCCCTGCCTCGTAGCGCTCTCCAATACCATGCTGACCACCTGTGGAAGAACCTAATGGTCTAGACGCGGCACGCTCTCGGATGCAATTTCGCTGCTTCTTATGCATTACGTCGGGTACCGACATACCCCTGTCGCTACGTTGCCGTGCCGCTTCCCCCCGAAGCTCATGCCACAACTGCAAGCCACACGAAATGAGCACAGAGTTGACGGATTACTCTTGAAATTGCATAGCCATCTCATATCGGTACGGCCGGGGTCCCCGGGAGTAGTACTGCAGATGCCCGCTGCGCCGCTGCGAACATGTGGGTGTGTCACTTGGACCAACAGCCGCGCCGAACTATAACGGCTCCCAGTCCAAGCGTTTGTGAAAGAAGCTGTCTCGAGTCTAAATAGAGTTTCTATCAAGTTCCAAAGACCTGGTTCACTCATCAGGCATTACCGAGGAACTACCAGCTGGGTCAAGAACGCTATTCTGCGGCGCAGGCCGCATCGTTCATCGACCGTTACGCAAGGGATTACCATTTTTGGCTAGAGATGCAACTCATTCGAAATCATGGGGAAATCCCTTGTGATATCAACGCATGCGATATCTTCCCACGCGCTCTTCGATCGCTTTCTCCAATTTCCCAACCTACATTCATACCCTCGTCAATCATTCCTAACATTGAAGAAGAAAAAAGCCTACGAGACAAACCACGATTACGATCGCCTCGGAAAACACGCGCAAGATGGGGTTTGGCACAACACTGAAGAAATGGAAGTCCACTTTTAGCCCTGCAAAGCTGTCTACTCAGCCAGATAGATTGCCAAAACACACACAATCCGAAGAAAACCTAGTTTCCATGCAATCACCGTTACCGCGATACAACGCACAGCTCCACTCGCATTCTGAAGCGGCGCTTCATCGACCAACAAGTCAAATTGTATGTCACTCGCCATTAGACAAGAGGAACCGCGCTGGAAAAGGGAAGAGTAGAAGGAGCAAGGATGATCAGAGTGAAAGAGGGGGTGGAGAGAATAAGAGGCATACGACCACTACGAGAGTACTGTTCTCCTCCACACAATTTGATACGGTGAATGTGAAGAAGTCTGCATGATGGGTGCCAATGACTACATTGATGGGCTTTCGACAGCTTATTCTTAAAAGAGTAGTCAGGGCAGGGGACGAGAAGAACAGGTCGAAACTGATGGCGATATCTGGAAACCAAATCGGTATAAACCACTACACTGGCGCGGACAGGAGATGAGCCAGCGAAAGAAGGACGAGGCGTGTGTGCACTCAAGCCGCTGACACGACTCTTTTGGGCTTCTCTCGTTCGATCGTGCTACTCCCTTCCATCCCTCTTACAAATATCATTTGTTACTTTTTTATTCAAGAGATTACCAAGAGATCACCAATAACTCTCAAGAACCCCTCTTTTGTATTTAAACTAGATCCTGGCAGCATTAAGAGACCGTTATCTGCTTCAAAGCTGCTCGTATAGCATGTCCGGGTAGAAGGCATGAGCTTTCGTGAAGGCCTCGAACGATGATGGCCATAATATCATATATGAAAAAATAACCTATCGACTCCACCTGTAATCTTCCATGAGCGCAACATGCCCTTGCACCAATACATGAACCAGCTTATCTATTTGAGGACCACATGACGCTAAGAGACATAGCAGTTCGTACACCTCAAAGGCACCTGGTACATCCACCCCCTTTTGGTGAGCGACTAAAGCAGATATGGGTGACTGGACTTTTGATAAGCTGGTCTAGTCTCAACGTAGGGCTTACAGCCACCCCACCCTCCTTCCAATGATGCTCACGCCTCCGAGCGCAGCACTAATTCCCGTCCAAACTACCAAACTACCATATGGCGTCCCATACAAGCCATGATCACCAATATTGCCCATCTTCAACAGTGTTTCACTGACCGGCCCACTCACAACATTACCTATACCCCTACCCATTGACAAGAAAGAGAAGACCATAGAGCTTTCCATCTGACCCGTACTCATTTGCACTGTCCTCAGGATGCCAGGCCAGGTATTGGTGAAGCTGCCCGCGAAGAGACCATACATGAAGCAGAATATGAGCAGCGGCGGTAGAGAGGTGCTGAAGCCCCAGATCAAGAAGACGGAGAGCATAGCACCGATGGTGGAGATGAGAATGGCAGTGGTGACGTGCGTCCGATCCACAATACTCCCCATGCTAATGGATCCGATGACGGCAGCCATATTTATGAGGATGATGGGCAGAGCGGAAACCGCACTGCTGAAACCGAGGGCCTTCGTATATGTAGGAAGATAGATGGAAGGCACAAAAAAACCTAGTCCCTGCATGATATTTCCAAATTGCAGGATCCAAAAAGACCTGTTTGTCAGGAAAGTGAAGGTAATGCGGGACCTAGTTGTTGCTGGGACGGGAAGTCGCGGCTTCAGAAAGAAGGTGAGAGGCAAGCCAACGACGAAAAGCACGATCGTCCATATGCGCAGCGCGGTGCGGAAGCCGTAGTTATTGAGCAGAAACTGGAGTAAGAGCGGAATGAGGATACCGCCTAACCCTGTACCAGCCCACATGATGCCGAATGCAAGACCCTTGCGTCTTACAAACCACTCGTCCAGGAAAGTGACGACAGGACTATATGTGACAGCGCCACCAATACCATAAAGGATGCCTTGGGTGACGATAAGTTGTGGTACGGTCGTGCAGAGTGAGCTCAGTCCAAGCGAAAGACACATGATAAGCAAGCCTGCAACCATTGCCTTCCTCTTGTGATGTGGCCAACGTATAAGTGATCCGAATGTGAAAGGTGCGACCATATAGAGTATGCCCATCGCGGATGTTCCGATAGCTGGGATGCCGGATGCGCCCGAGAAGGGTAGCGATGAGCTATAGTACTCCTGGAAGATACCGTATGACCATGGAAAACCTGATCAAATGTTAGTCGAGTACCCAAGTACGTCTAGTAGCGCTGCAAGTGGATAACCGTGGCCTATGAAATGTAATGCTTACCCCACACCATCATCTCTATCACAAATGCAGCCGCAAGAAATAACCAAGCATCTTTTCCGCCATCGGTTGGAGGTAGCAATGTCTCGTTCTCAGGCTCGTCGTTCCATCTTGAGCTTGTTTCCAGCTCAAACCGCGATTGGTTGTCGGGTGTGGTGCTCGTGCTCACAAGGGCTGATTGAGACCTAGTCGCCATGTTGTGTATTGGATAGAGCCTCTGCGGAGTTCTTTACCTCTGAAGAAACTGAGTGCAGATGACCTGAACCATATATAATAAGTAACGTGTCTGTCATATGATCTCAACAAAAACACATGGCAAGTATTCGATAAGAGTTTCGCCGAATGAAGCTCTCCCCCACCACACAAGAAAGCTGGGTTGTTGGGCTCTAATCCAGGAAGAGAAACTCGATCCATCATCAAGAGCGGGGCACGGCTTATTGGCATATATGTCATGATGAAGAATGAACGTGTGGTGCTAGCTAGACGCCTCTACCTTTCGGAGTGAGCCTGGGGATGTGAGTATTCCGAAATGCGTCGGAACGATGTACACCGGACTGAAATAGTCTGCCGATATCGCGGCGGACGTGCGCCCAACACCACTTGAGAAAGCATCACTGAGATGGTAAGAGATTCGATGGTAGAAAGTTTGACGAACGATATATAGATACTTTTCGCACGAGGAAACTGGCCTTCCTGTACTAATCTGTTAGTTGCACGCTAACCATCTTTTGGTTGTAGCTTCCGCTGGAGGCAGGGTAGCTTCGCATGTAGGCGAGAACATCGGCTTCCAGATATTCTCAACTCGGATGCACCATCCTACGCCTTCTCGGGCTCGTCTAGTAGATAGCCCTCTCTTCTACCCAGTACATCTTCAATAGTCTCATCTGTAAATCTCAAGTCCTCCTCGAGTGGCACTGTGTCTTTGATCTTTAGAAGCATAACAGGTAGGGCGATAACCAAGCTTGCAGCCAACATCACCCAGCTAGACAGGAAGATATCCATGTAGGGCCTCTTGTAGCCGTCTATACGGAACACTATAGCCGCACCTGCTGATTGTATACCTTTGTAGAAGCCTGCAAAGTTCGCAAGCTTGCGGCTGTTGTTGGAGATGGCACCCATAAACCTAGGAAAAGTTAACAGAGAACGGAACCGTCGGGTGAGCTAGTTACCAGTAAACGCAAGTTTGCCACGCTGCATCGTAGAAGCCGTAGCTCATATATAAAACCATTGGACCGCCATATCCACCATGGGTCCAGTCGTAGTGGAGGCTGTTATCATCGCGACTGTACTGTCGTTGAAAGACATAACCTCCGCCCCAGACAGCAAAGGTCAAAACCAACATAGTTACCCAGGCTATCTTTGCTCGGGTAGTTCTTCTAACGTTCGGAAAGTCTAGCGCAAACCCGAATACAGCAGCCCCAAAAATCTGCGCTAACCAATCTAACAGCCGGTACACGGGTCAGTATATGCTTCATATACAATATTAACAGGGATAATACTAACACAGTGTGTTGTTCAAAGCGCGGGTCCGCACATTAAATCGCGCATAGTTGACGTCATTGAACTGGTATGTATAAAACCAATTCGAAGCGAAGAACATTGGGAAGAGGAGAATAATATATGGGTCCGTACGGAGAGTCTCCCAAAGACCGAAGATCTCGGTTTGCCAAGTCGGGTGCTTCATCATGATTACCCCACTTCCATCGCGGCGTACGACATGTTTGGCATCAATGAGTGTCCAGGAGAGGCATGCGCCGAAGAACGTGAGAATCATGAAACCGATATATGTACCGTTTGTAACTGCTGCTTTAGTTCCGCCGCGGGTGTTGAAGTTGAGCGCTAGTTGCACCTGATATCGAAGTCAGTGTTTGTTCTTTCCATGTTTTCTGGGAACCCGCTTACAAAACCGCCTATAACAGCCTGAGAAGTGATGGCACGAAATCAGTGTATGTCTCAGATGCATTCTGCACAACCACAACTTACCCCCATATTGAAAATTATCCAGAACCAGGAGATATACCGTCCTTTCATATTCTCAGGCTGTTATAGGCGGTTTGGTAAGCGGATTTCCGGAGCATGGAAAGAACAAAAACTTACTGGGTACGACATCATGATCGCTCCTTGGGAAGCCCACAGAATACCAGCACAACATCCCAGCAGGAAACCAGAGAAAACCACGTAACCTAGGTTTTGGGTCTTGTTGAAACAAAGCAATGCACTGACGTAGATGCAATATCCCAGACCACCGAAGGAGAGTGCAATTCGAATGCCAAGGACGTTCGTGATGGTACCGGCGAAAAATCCAACGACGGCGAAGGTAGCATAAAGCGTAGTGTTGGCAGCGTTGCTGGCATGGGCGTCATCGTCAAGACCTGCTGCGCCTATCCCATTGACGGCATTGAACATGCCTGCGCAGTATCAGTAACTTGTTCATCACTCGGATGATGCGCTGAAGCTTACCAGGGCACAAGAAGCAGACAAATGATACCAGTATCAACTGTGACTCTGGCGATGCATAGTATGGAAGCTTGACGGGTCCGATTCTTAGGCTTCTGTACTTCCATCCTCGTCGTCTCTCAAAACTTCCTTGATCATCGTCACGGACTGGCACTCTCGTGTTCGCCCATGTGCTTTGATTGGGTCCAGCCATCGAGACTGATGTAATTGATGATGTGCCTTAAGAGACTAGAATCTTGGGTTGACACAGGCGATTGATGGAATGGTATTATGAACGCTGTCGACAAAGGAACACGATGATCAGGTTTTAGGAAGAAGGCATGAGATGGTCAAACAAAGAGTGGGTTTCAGATGCTGCGTAGAGTGATTTGTGAACCATTCTGCAACCGAGTTACGTTTGCTCACGTACATTGGAGGCCAGGCTAATCGATCAACGTATATCCATGCTTTCGTGTCCTTCGGTGAATGAAATGATTGGCGCAATGCATAGTTGTGGTAGCGTGGACGTGCTATGTTTAGTCCCACCAGCTGTGTTACTAGGTCCTGCCTCATGCAGTGGGCACAAACTTGGTGGGGAATACCTTATCGAGATCGGTATCGTTAGAATCGTTGAGGTTTACTTGTCTCATCACCCCGTGTTTTGGATCAGTTCATTGCTAGTTCCTGCGCTCAAGCCAGTCACACGACCAAGGCTGAATGTAAAGTTCATTCTGAATAGCTCGATCGTTGCGTATCGGTAAGCTTGCCCTGTTCCGGCGGGGAATAAACCCCTCACATAAGCTTGTGGCGCCAGCAATCCTTGGTAAATGGGCACAACTCGCCGCTGTAGACGTGGCTTTGGCGCGCCAAAAAGATAATGTTGAAATGTGTAAATGTTCACTGGGGGCTATGGGACGCCATTTGCGCAGTGAGCTAGAAGACTGATTTATTTACGGTCAGACGCAGAGGCTTAGATAACCAGGACGTGATAACATTTGGCCCCATTGTCTTGCTGACCTATCAACATATCCTTCTTTCTATGTGAAAGAGGCCTCCCATATAATATTTGTGATGGGCCTGCGTCTCATGGCGCATCTCGACAAGGACATTCAGCCATTTCCGCCCCTTGCTAAAGGGTTTGCATGTTTGACCATCGACGTAAGCATGCAAAGATGTTGTGGCACCAATGATTCTTCTGAACCCGATTATGGGCATTCGATATATCTTTTTGTGTTTCTACTGGACAAAGGGGTTCCACATCGGCGTAATTGTATTCAAATTTCAAAGTGGTCTTCTCGGTCATGCTCACCGCATGACACATAACCTTGTGGCGCAAGCCATTACCTGCATGGCTATCGGCGCTTAGTGTCACATTCATCGCACTGCCTAGTACGACTTTCCGCAGACGACAGTGAGCTTCACCCTGCGAGTCACACCCATCGCAGTGTCCACGTCGATTACTAGCGATGGAGATAGTTGCATCCACACCTGTAAACGCAGCCTCTGCTGTCATCGCTCTGAACAAAGCGGCTTGGACATTATCAGTATCCCTTTCCGAACTCGACAAGGACGCAAAGCTCGGCAATGCATCCCTCGAAAACCTCACAGGCGAAGTCAAATCTCTCGGTAATGAATGTTACCAAATACACCTCAAGTTGGTAGAAGTCGCAAGCAAGACAAAGATAGGGTCACCCCCACCCTACGATGGCGACGGCAGGATGTGGACTTGTCTTACAACTCAGGTGGAAGACGCGAGCCAGACAATACATGGCCTGGAGTCATTCGTCAAGAGCGTCAGGTTGGAGGAGGCTGAGGAGGCCAGTCTCGTGTTCCGGCCGCAGCGCCTGGTGCAGCTAAATAAGAGCAAGGATCAAATCGAGGAGATGGTAGCGAATGTACGCAGACATAGTGACAACCTGAGGACTACGCTGCTTCTGGTTCACACGTAAGTTGCTTGTTTGCCAACAAGTAATGATGGGATGCTGAATCACTTTACAGCGTACTTGCCCATCTTGTATCTGTCCGTCCCGAGCGACCACCTACATCCGACGTTGTGGAGCTACAACACATGGTGACCAAGCTGCAACGCTCATCTCAGATCGGTCCAACTTGGCGATATTCCCATACAGAAGCTACATTGATGCAGTACGCGCAAGAAGTTATCGTCAAAGAGATGAAAATTTGCGAGCGAAATCCAACTGTGAACCGGACCGTTCAGGCTTTACATATCGAAAGTAACGATGACCATGTCCCACAATCGGCGAAGGCCATACAAGCGATACGAGAAGATCAGCAAGAATCAAGGGTCTCTTCTGTAGTTCCTGCAATCTCTTCAAAGAACCCTGGAAGGACGTATAGTGTCCTGAGAAGTCTGTCGCCGATCCAAAACATGCAACAACATGAAGCGTCCGACTCGGATGATGATCTGGATACCGACTTCGCCAAAGCGGCATTGAGCACTGGCTCTCAAGCGTTCGACGCCGGTATATATGTGAGAAATTTCCCTATACTAATTGCGTGTGAGACATACACTGACTTCTGACATGAACCTCTCAGGAAGAGGCAGACTCTCTGCTTCAAGAAGCGCTAAGGATATTGCTATTGCTGCAAAAGCGAAGGCGAGCTTTCTGCGACGTCTTCAGTCTGCACTATAAGCTTGCAGTTTGTGCGTACCACGTTCAGGGACCGGCAGATGCCGAAAAGGCTTTGACCGGATTCGTTGAACAATCAGCGAACTCTGATACAGAACGTGAATGGATTCACAATGCAACTCACCTGTTAGCTCAGCTGTACGTCCGCATGAATCGTCTCGACCGCGCACGGATCGAATGCGAAAAGACCTTGCAAGCACGGCGACGGCTACAAGGAAAACAAAGTGCCGCCTCTTTAGAATCGATGGCGCTCATGGCCCACATCTATGTTTTGCTTGACAAGCGTGCGCTTGCAAAATCGTGTCTTGCTATGATACCAGAGGCCAACCGGGAGACCGTGTTGAGAGTGGTCGAAGAATCACTTGGGAAGAATGTAGAGCACCTAGATTTCGCCTCACTACTCTCACGAGTGAGACCTGTCGATGCCGATACGATTGTAGAGCGAGCTCATAACAGCAGACTCTCTACAACAACCTTAGAGTCATCCTTGGATCACAATGGCAGCGACTCAGCGTCTGTGATGACGAAGTCACAAGTAGCTGACCCTTGGCATACACCTCGAAGTATTGCATCCGAGAACGTTACCTTGCTGGATTCAAGTCCATTTATAAAGAAATCGCACCTTTCTGTATCGAGTAAAACAGAGCAGGGGTACTCAAAAGATGAAAGCCAAGCACGAGATTACACTCCTAGCATAAGGAAAGCAGACGTAGCGATTGCGAGCTCATCTGAACCCGAGCACAGAGAGAAAAACAAGGCGAAGCCGCTCTCCCGTAAAGAGATACTCAACAAAGTTGGCTGTCAACCCCGAGACCGAGCTGAGGAGGCCGTTTGCGATGGAGATTACGGAGCTCTGATGACTACACTGAATAAGAAGAAGGGTTTCTGGCGGTCAAATGTGCGTAAGCGTGGCCGCACAGAGCGTGTGACAGCACTGCACTTTGCCGCTCTATTTGGTGAAGTTGACATGGCGCGGGCCCTGATACAGGCAGGTTTCAGCGTCAACGAAGTCCCTTTCGGCTATTCCACGACTCTGACGCCCTTAAATTTTGCCATCGGCGCCCGGCAGGTGATCATGGTCGCCCTGCTCACTATGAAAGGTGCGGTACCAGCTTCACCAGACACATGGTCGACATTGGCAGGACAGCTGATGAGCCGGTCATGGCTGATGAAAACAATGTCGGAGGCTGAAAAGCACCTGGTCCCAAAACGGATTACTGAGATTATGGATATCCTACTTCACCGCGGATGGGATATCAATGCCCCAATAACTGCATCTGGAGGGACTGTCTTGCACCAAGCCGTATGTTTTTGGACCGGGGCATACAAATGGGATTTAAGTCTTCGCGCTGCGGTAACTTCATTCCTATGCGAGAGAGGCGCAAATCCATTTCAGGCGAACTCAGAAGGCAAGACCCCTTATGATATTGCGTCCGCCTCGGAACATCAGGACCTCATGGTGATCATCGAAGACCACTCTAGACAGAAAAGGCTCTTAGGCACACCTGCGATGCCAGTTGAACTGCCCGGTCAGTTCCATTGACATGACTGATGCGCTTCTAAATTGGGTTTCCTGAGTACATCGGCTCACACAAGCCGCTGAAACCTGCGGAATAGACGGTCTGGGATAGACGAAATCTGATTTGATCAGCGTCATGAAGCCTTGTTGGAAGCGACACGCATTAGGAACAGAAATGGCCGGCATACAACGATGAAGTCGATCTGTAGCTCGTAGATGCGCTATGAACGCGAGAGCATGTCCTCGTGAATTCGCCTATGTACTTGGATGCGACAATGGAGAAGGCTTCTACAAAGGCTATCACACCTTTGAATAGACATGCAGTGTCTCTGCAAGGCGTATACAATAATGCAGGAAGCTAGAGTCCACTAGAAGAATTAACTGCGAATGCCTCCCAGCTGGCTGGTGGTAGTAACAAAGAATCAAGGAAAACCGGCCGTTTTCCTAGAAGAAGACTACTGGATCTGCCTGTAATTGACTGAGTCCAGGTAAAGAGTCATGCATGACGGTACAGAATACATCGTGCGACGCTGGCGGATCATCCTGCTTATCCGTCAAAGGTGTGAGCCGCACATTGCGGACTTGATTCTTGGCTTCAGGGCTTAAATGACGTATAAAATCCAGAACAGGCAAATAGTTGAATGCATAGAAATGGAACTGGTTCTCCGAGTATATGATTTGCAGGCATTCGTGATAGATCAGGCGATTCGTTCGTAAAACATCCAGACTTAAGTGTCTGTCAGGGTGAGGGCGGCAATTCTTGTTCCATTTCCTGCTGATGGATCGTGCGTCGCAATCGGTGTAGAGAATAAATCGCTTGTTTGATGATGGTAAGACATATCGGAAAATCTCCCTCCGAATCTCAGACGGGATGCGTAGTAAAGGTGGGTAGGTGTCCAAGGGTGATATGGTTTCGGCAAGCGAAATTTGTTTTTCTACACTCTCTTTTGAACGTCGTTCTAGGCGACGTAGGCAGATGTCCTCCGTTGTCTTGGGTGTGGGTGCCATCTATACAGATGTCAGTACTACGCGAATATCATAGGC